TTCCTGAATATAAACCAACTGTGTGTTTTTACCAATTAAGTCTGATAATAATGGAAATAAATTAAATACAAAAAAATAGAAAATCGCAAAATAAAGTGGAGAGCAACTATAAAAATTTAAGTAACTCAAACATATAACTACTATAAAGGAGCAGTTCTTATTGTTAAAACTATCAAAAAAACATATAAAGTATACCTTGTTATACTCTTGTAAATAAATTTCTAGCTGTTTTTCTTGAAGGCTAGACATATGAAACTTGTTATTTATTGTGAACTATGCATGATTTATTAAAAATAAAATATTATTTATGCCTTACATATAATGAAATACAGAAACTCTTATATAGTTTTAATTCCAATCATTTATGATAGCAGCACGCCTATTACTATCCCGAATCATGGTGACTCATATATTAATATCATACTGATCCATTGCTATTCTGGATCTCACTATCCAAAGCCAATATTTCTGATTGTTTTTTACACTTTTTATAATAATCGTGGGGTTGTATATCAATTGTACATATATTATAAGATTATAATCAAAACAAGAATATATAATACAAAACAAGATAAATTTTCTATAAAAATGAGAATACGAAAATATATTTTATTTATAGAAGTATTTATTGTAAACACAGCCACAGTACTAGCCAGTGGTGCATTGGTTAACTATAGTGGCATTGCCAACATAAGCAGTTCACCGCTTGTTATTTCGCCTATACAATTTAATTCTGCTCCTCTTGAAAAAATGGAAATAGTTCCAGAACTATCAGATAGCTTTGATGAAAACCGGCCTAAAAGACAGATAGGAAATAAGAATATAAATAAGCAGAAAGATTTTATAAAATATGATGAGTTTTATTTTAATAGAAATCCACAGAATGGTTATGATAATATAACAAATTTGTATTATAATAAAATAGCACAAAACAATAAAATGCATAAATCGCACAGTAAAGATCCAAAAAGGTACAAAATAATGAAAATGCTATATGGAATAATTTTATCATCTCCATTTAACTTAGGAGATATTTCCTTTCTCATTAGAAAAGCAATAGAATTAAAAGATGATGAGAACAGTAAGCCAATTTCAATGGAAGAGATGTATTCTATTTTAACACGAGGAATTATAAAAAGTTCTGTATCAAAAATATATCTTAGCTCTGCTAGAAATCGTCTAATTAAAATTAAAAAATGTAAAACCGCGATAACAGACGAGAAAATATACAGCTTGCTATTAGAAGCAAAAAACACCATTCGAATTTATTTATTGACCATTGTTTATGATCTACAAAATGTCTTAAAGACATTTAAAAAAAGTCCATTTTCAGATGAAGCAATAGCTTCAATTAATATGTACAACACGCAGCATCCAAATACCACAATATCGGATATAGACATCTATATCAAACAGTCCGGTAAATTTAATTTGGGTATAGGGAATGCAGAATATTTGAAAGCATCATTATACAATACAGTAAATCAGTTATACAAACAAATAGAATATGTAAAAAAAATTGTAAAAATTTTATACTTAGACAACAGAAAAGAAATATATGCAGAATTAAGCAGGGAAATAACTGAGTTATATAGTACCTGTTCAATTTTGCAGACATTCAATCCGCATGAAATTACAAACATCTATGCAGAAAGGGCAGTTTCTTCAATACAGAGCGCAATTGACAAACATTTTATTGCAATGAGGTATCTTGGCCAGGGAATAACTAAAAAATTAATTAAAATAGAAAAAAATACAATTGCAAATGCTTTTAATATGAACAAATTGCCATATACGGCGAATAATACAACTATGAGTGATCACATAGACCACAGCTATGCAGATCATAGTAGCTTACAACAGCTAATTAACTTTTTTTAAATTCACAGCCAAAAAAGAGTGTAAAATGTTAAAGCTAATAAATCAAGAAATGTCCTTACTATTATGTCCTAATCGAAATAGTACAAAATCATTAAATGAATCTAAGATTAATAAAAAGCTAGTAAAAATTCAAGAAAAACTATTATTCAAGTCGGGTGAATTAGCACATAATAGTTTATAGGTTTATTTAAGAGCAATTTACATATTATAAATATAATTTTATGTAAGGCATAAATAATATTTTATTTTAATAAATCATGCATAGTTCACATTTTATAGTACAAAAATTCTTTGTATAACTTTATTTTTATTCTGTAATATGCTATTCACAGCTAGTTTAATTAAAGTTAAGACCTTTAATATTTTAATAATTAAACATTATTAATAAAAAGAATAAATTAATATTTTCCTTTATTATTAGAGAAATTCATTAGATAGATTAATTATGAATTTGTATAGCCAGATAGTTATAAATTTATGAGAAGATAATTGCCATATGTGGCCTCTCAGTGTTCAAACATATATAAATTATGCTTTCAATTATTTCTTTATCAATTTATTCATTGCTCTTCTATATTAATTCTAATACTTTTACAGCATTTTCATAATATGCAATCGATTACATCATATTTTTAATTTTACTTAATTGGCCTTTTTTCAATGAACATATAAGTTTGTATATAAGTTCATGAATATTTTTATCTTTTTATGTAATTGGCATAGTGCACAAATAAATGTTAATACAATAGTATTCAGCTCATTAAAACTAGGAGTAAACCCACCAAATCTATAAAAACACATTTAGTTTTTTCTAGAAATGAATGAATAGTTCTAATAGTATCTATACTTGTATTGTTATTGGTTAAACAGTTGGCTAGTTTGGCTATTTCCTGTTCTTTTGGCATAAATAAAAATTTATGTATCTGATTTGTGATTGCATTTACTTCATGTGAATTTTTAATTAGCTTTATCCAGTTTATAACAATTAAAGGATTGCTTATTCGAGTGGCGTATTTAAGTGGTTTTAAAAACATATAATTTAAGTCTATAGAAGTATTTGGGGTTTTAAAATTTATAGCTGCATTAGGGGCATTAGACTCAGGTTGGAAATTATTATTAAGACGGTTTATGCTGTGCTTTAGAATACATTTACAGAATATATGTAAATTGGCGTACTCACGAGGAGTAACGCCGCCGCCGCCCTGCCGCGTAGCCAAGAAAGTGAAAGGGGGGCTCTTTATTGTCTTTAGGAAGCGGCCTAAGCCTGCGCGGACACGGAGTCCAAGGGCGCAGTTGTGTTAGACCTGGCGCTAAAGTTAAGCTGTCGGTGCTTCCCTGAGTCTCCCCCTAAATTGGGAGAAGAGCTCGGGTTAAATAGTCGGAAGTTGATATATTGATTCATATCCCGACCTTTTGATTTGACGGGATCATTGCGCAAGATGGCGTGCAGGCAGATTGCCCTCGGGGTTCCCGTCTGAGTGATGGTGCCACCACATGACCTATCATTAGTATAAATACTAAAGCTAGTAATTCATGGTGTACAATAAATAATAATATATTCGGGTTATATATTATTATTATTGTTATTATAAATATATTAGAATTTATATTTCTATGGTTATTTATTATGGTCTTATCTTATAACAGACAAATCTTTATACCAATGGTTTTAGAATAAATAAAAATAGTATAAATATATTTTCTTTCACTTTTTTTATATCTCCAATAAAAAATGGAAATGCCAATGTGTAAGAACAAAATAGAAAAAGAAAAGAAAGACGAAAACAAAGACGAAAACAAAGCAAAAATGCCAAAAAGCACAGAGGACAGGTGTGCGGTATGCGGGCAGCAAAAGCCCCGTAGAAAGAAGAGGTATTTTTTAATAGGAATTATACTAATCATCTTAGCATATTTTATAAAAATAGGATATGAGAAAGCATTTGAAAAAACAATTATTATGAGGTTTATAGAAGGATTACTTAATTCAAAGACAGTGTTAAACCTAAATCTTAGCTCTACAACAAAAGCAAAAATATTGTATTTTGCTGAAATAACATCATTTACGCCAGATGAAAAAGTAGAAGAAATGCCTGGCATGGTTGCACATAATAATGGATTAACAGGAAAGCATCCGATTGTTATAATTCCAGGAATTGCAAATACTTCATTAGAACTATGGCAGGCAAAAAAAGAGAACACTTCATTTTTTAGGAAAAGAATATGGGGGTCGCATTCTACTCTTGTTTTTATGTTGCACAACAGAGATGAGTGGGTAAATATAATGAAGCTAAACTCTGATACAGGGCTTGACCCCGTCGGAATAAAAGTCAGGGCGTGCAGCAGTCTTGACTCATCTGACTTTTCCATACCCGGCATGTGGTTCTGGTGGAAAATAGTTGAAAATTTGTCGTATATTGGATATGATGTTGCAGATATTCATTTTGCTGCCTTTGACTGGCGTCTTGGGATTGAAGAGTTAGAAATACGTGACAACTATTTTACGAAGCTTAAAATAGATATAGAGACACAGTATATACGAAAGAAAGAAAAAGTACTTGTGGTGGCACATAGCATGGGGTCTTTAATATTTCATTATTTCATGCAGTGGGTATCTGAGAAAGACCCAAAATGGGTGGACAAATATGTGCACAGCTCTGTGTATATAGGCCCTCCTCTTCTAGGCGCGCCCAAAGCATTGGGTGGTCTTTTAGCAGGTGAGGTAAAGGACACCGTTGATATGGGTGTGATTCAGTATACAATTGTAGAATTATTATTTGGGAAGAAGAACCGGCATGAACTATTTAAAACCTGGGGGTCGCTTCTTCATCTATTGCCAAAAGGAGGAGAGAGAATATGGAAGAGGAAAGATTCAGATAAACTGGATTTAGTAGCAGTTAGAAAAGAATCAAAAAAGGAAAGAATAAAAGAAAGAAAGAAAAAATTGCATAAAGGAGCATAAATTCCTCAGCTATAGCGACATATTTAGTATAATCAAAGAAATTCTCCCATCATATAATAAGCAATTACATGAAAAAATAGTAATTCCAAAGAAAAAACAAGATAAATGGTCAAACCCACTAGAGTGCGCACTCCCAAACGCACCAAACCTAACTATATATTCTCTTTACGGTGTAAACAAATCAACAGAGTCTGGTTACTATTTTATAGATGCAAACGGCACTTTAAAAATAGATAGAAATATATCTTCGCGCAGCAATAATGTGTATAATGGCGTTGTATTGAAAGATGGCGATGGAACAGTTCCTGTTGTGTCTTTAGGTTATATGGGGATATCTGGGTGGAAGAAGAAGTCATTAAATCCATACGGCGTTAAGACAGTAAATAGAGAATATAAACACGTTCCATCTACTTCTATATTAGAAGTAAGGGGCGGTAAGTATACAGCAGAGCACGTAAATATTTTAGGAAATATTGATTTAATACGCGACATACTTGAAATCTCTTCAGGAAAGACTCTTCCTAATAAAATTTTATCAAATCTCCAGGAAATAGCTGACGAAATAGATAAAAAGACTATTTAAACAGATAATTAGATGGCAAGATGGTTTTATTCATGGTTATAACCAATTGCATTGCCACTTATTTATATTATATGAATACTAGCAAATAAGTATATTTTTTATTATCTATAGCGATATATAGGTAATTTACGTTATAAAATATAAAAATATTCTAAAGCTGTATGCAGAATGATTTAATTCACGTACAGTTTCTTATTTTGTATATAAATAGAATTAAATTTAATAGAATTAACCAAATATTTCCTATTTTAACACATAAAACCGTTTAGCACACCGATACTAGCACTGTTATTGTTTTGAATTATTAATTTATAACAGCTTTAAACATAATTTTATAACCTGAAATTCAAAACCAATAGCATATCGTATAATTAATACTGAATTATTATAATAAAAGAGAAAATAAAATTATTTACCCACTGCATAATATATTTCATTATTTTTATTATAGTATACAACAATTTATAGTATACAGTTATTGTGTCATTGCTGATGGAATATATTAAATAATGATTTATTTATAATAACCCAGAATTTAAAATTACTTAATGGTCCTTTAGAAATAATTAATAAGAAGGGTAAAGAAAATAAAAAAAGAAAAAAGAATGGAGGAAGACAGAATTACAGAAAATGAAATAAGAAATGTGTGGAAACACAATTTAGAAGAAGAAATTGAGCTTTTATCACAAAAAATAAAGGAATATCCATATATTGCCATGGATACAGAATTTCCTGGTGTAATTGCCAAGCCAATAGGAACATTTACAGCCCAGACAACATACACGTATAACCAATTACGGTGTAATGTAAGTATTCTTAGTCTTATACAGCTGGGAATATCTCTTTCTAATGAAAAGGGCGAAAAACCAATTCCAAGCACATGGCAGTTTAACTTTCATTTTGATAAGAAAGGAAGCATGTCTGCGAGAGAGTCTATGTATGTGCTTGAGCAAGCAGGAATTGATTTTGATAGACTTTACAAAGACGGAATAAATATTGAAGTATTTGCAGAGTTAATAACTGTCTCTGGCATATTAATGAACAAGTCATTAAAATGGATTTCTTTCCACTCATCTTACGACTTTGGCTATTTCATCAAAGCAGTCATGGGGCAAGACTTGCCACCGTCAATAGAAGAATTCTCTTATGTTCTCTCAAAAGTATTCCCATATTTTTACGACATAAAATACTTAATAAACACACTGGGAATGAAAGGAGGGCTACAAGACTTAGCAGACCATTTATCTGTCTGCAGAGAAGGCACACAGCACCAAGCTGGGAGCGATGCCTTACTTACGCTTAAAGTATTCCACATGCTTAAAACAGAGATTATCCCCGATGCAGAACAGAATACAAAATATAAATGTAAGCTATTTGGTATTGACTCCGTATAAAAATATGTAATACCATAAATAAACCTAATAACAATTAGATAATTAACTTTTATCTATAAACAGCACCAGACAGTTGGCTGTACAAGGATTCTTTCGACATAAGAAGTATTATTTGAAATATGCTTAAATAAAGAGCTGACACCCTCTCCTGTTTTAGCAGATCCAGTAAAATGAGATATTTCATATTCAGTGAAGTAATTTTGGGTCACCTCTGATATTTCCCTGAGTTTCTGAACCACCCCTACATCTGGAAACCCTTTGTTCATAAATGTAGAAGACTCTGATGATTTAAACAAAAGATCTGTTTTGTTGCCAAACACTACAAGGGACGCTGTTTTGTTTTTCAGTCTTACTTCAGAGCACCACTGCTGGGCTATTTTTATGCTCAACTTATCTGTTATGTCATATACTACAACTACGGTATTGGCATCTCTGTAGTATAAGGGTGCAATTGCCCCGTACCTCTCCTGCCCTGCTGTATCCCACAGATCTAAGTGTAATGTATATCCATCCCTGTGTATTTCTTTTGTTTGAAACGCTGCACCAATTGTGGCAGCTTGATTTGGGTCAAACCCTCCATTTATGTACTTCTTTGCTAGACTTGTTTTCCCTGAACTACAGCTACCAAGTATTACTATTTTAGCCCTGCGCTCCATCTTTATTTACTATTAGTATTTATTTATCTATTTGTTTGCTTAAGGATGCTAACAAAGTGTGCATTGGAAAATATCACTCGAGCAGAGTCAATGAACTTGGAGTTACTCATAACAGGAGCACCCAACTCATACCATGAGTCATCATACCATCTTGATGTAGTTAATGCAGAAGAGAGTGAACCATTCACTTTAGAATCTTTCAGAAAGTCAATTATAGAAGCACTTAAAAATGGAAAGGAGTACATATTGGCAAAAGTAACCACTTCAGATCCGACAAATGCAACATCTCTGTATAATTATTACTACTCAGCATTTGAGATTAACAAGATACTTTTTAAGTACGAGGCAGATAGGCATCTTCTCCACAGAATGAAAGTAAGAAATCCAATGAATAATATGTTTATAATGGGACAGGTGTATTACTACAAGATAGGGTATGATTCATTAGAAGTAGCCCTTCAGGAATACGACCATCCCTCTGTGGAGAGTTCTCGTGGGAAAATGAAAGCATTCAGTGAAATTCTTCCAATTACAAGAAACACCAGCAGTTCGTATATTGATGGGCTCTCAGTGAAGAAAGAACCAGAATTAAGAAGTATTTCACGTGATTTATTTGAGACGCTAGCACACCCACAGGAATCTGTTATAAATACAGACAAGAAGCTTAGAATACGTGCTGTATACTTCGCCAATGATGGTGATTTTCTGGTAAAATCAGGTACAAGAGAATTTTTCAAGAGAAATGCCGTTAATCCAGATGATTATTTTATATTTAAGCTTGAAAGAACACAAAATGATTTTTTGGCACTTCTAGACTCTCCCACAGGAAGTGAGTCTAATGATGAAGCAGAGACTTGGAAAAGAGCACTAACTGCTCATTTAAGTTTTATATTAGTGATTATGTGCTTGCTTCTGTTCTTAGGAACATTCCCATTAGTATTTTTTGTTGTTTTCCCATTGGTTATCCTATTTTTACTTTCTATGCTATTCTCCCTCTTCTATATATTCTGCTGTAGAAGAAGGACCTTTGGCAGTATAGATGTAAATGATGTAGCTGAGGTTTAATTATAATCAATAACAGAAATAACCCGAATATTCTATTATAATAATATATTATGGTATTCACTCCTTCCCGGTTATTTCTGCTGTTCTAATATGTACTTCTTAGTCACATATAATAATACTGATATTTTGGGTTATATCGGGTTATTGCAACTCAGTAATAAATAAAAGCTAAAATGTACAGAAATTCTCTTATACTTTATAATTTAAAATACTAAACTTATTATATCTCACAATTTATTATACATTACATAATAAATAAGTAATATATATTATACAACCCATAAAAAGTAAAATATTTATTATACAAATAGTAAAATATATTTTACTAATTTGTTTACAAATAATGAGTGCATTATTAGATATTTACAAAAGAATCCTATCCCCAGAAACACCAATACAAACATATTCACTATTAACAGTTATTCTATCGATATTCATAGGAATATCTGTGTTTATATCAAATACGTATATATTCAGTGAATTAGATAAGATTACATCTAAATTAGGATATCCAACAATTGGTTTAAAAAGTATAATAGCACTAGTAGGCTTATTGTACTCACCAATCACAACAATCCTACCCGACCTTAAATTAGGTGAATCTGTCTGGTATCACTCAAGCGTATTCAGTATAACAATATTAGCAGGTTTCTGCATATTATTCAAGAAGAAAAAAGAAAGAATCTACGCAGACAGTATAAGACACACTATTTTCTTTCAAACAATTGGTACAATGGCATCGCCTATTCTTGGTATATACTCTATTATAACATCATACAGTTCTGTTGTATTAATAGTACTATACTCTGTTTATTTTATGCTATTTACAACAAAAGGGAAGGATTATGGATTATATTTACACACAGAATCAAGTACAGAAAAATCATTAATGGAAAGAACCTTCAACAGAATTATTAATAAACCATCTGACAGTGTAAATAACAGGTGGATAAATATTATAATATCATCAACCATAATGGGGGCACTGATAGGTATTACATTTAAAAATATGTACTATATACCATTATATATAGCAGCATTATTTATACTTTGTATATTATCACTACATTCAAAAAAAACAAGTTATTTCAGGAATATGTACAGTTTAGGCTGTTCATGTATTATTATAAAGGGAATATCTAAGCATATCACTAGTATAATTAAAGTAATATTGCCTAATGTGTATAAGAAATACACTGGATATATTATAATTAATAATATTTATGTACTATTTCCTGTTATGATGGTTATACTAGTAGGAATGTTCAATGGCAGGTATAAACTCTGTTTCTCTATTGCTATATCACTGCCCATTCATGTATTTTTGTTACAAAAATCAGTTATTCCTTATGTGCATGCCAGTGAGAATGCAGTTATTGATAGGAGCGCCTTATATTCTCTTGTATTTACTGTTATATCTACGATTCTTTTATTTATTAATAATGAAATCAGAACTGGATATTTTGAGATTGAAGTAGGGATTATTCTTATTATGTTGTATATTATTTATATATTTTGTATATTAGGCCATCCTATATTACAAATGGAACCATTTAAATAAATTTTGTAATACTTTATAGTGTATGTGTAATAAATAATAATTATAAGTGAATGGTTTATAAATTGTGTAAATTTAATTGTAATTGCAGTAAAATTAATATTATTTATTACACATACACTCTAAAGTACTAATTATTTTTATAGTGTAGGTGTGGTTAGTGAAGCAGATGCTTTCTGTATTAATATTTCAGTTAGAGACTTGAAATTATTAAAATTTGAGAGAACCGATGAAGCAATCACTCTCTTAGGGATTGTAAGGTGGTCAATTGCTTCGGGTGGAAATAAGTACTTAATTGATACTTTACATGTACTTATTATTTCTTGACTTACAGATAAATCAATCTTTCTCCTTTTGGCAGATTCTGTATCTGAAGACTTTTCCTTTTCTAATTCTTCTTTTATTTCCTGTACTCGGCTGAGCACTTCTTTTGGTGCCTTTAATGTGGAAAGTTCTAGAACCATTTGTTCAACCTGCTCTAAATAATCGTTATAATCCTCCTCATCTGAATAATCTTCTAAAGACTTTCCTATCTGCGATGCAATGATTTTTCTTATTCTGCATTCCCTTTCTATGCTTACATCTTCAAATGTTTGGCTCATGTAGTTAGATCTTCTTAATGTGATATTACACTCTGGGCATTGATTAGGTCCATTAGCAAATAATCTGGATACGCACAGTTCGCATAAGCTGTGGTAGCACGGACTAACAAATATTTTCATTCCCGGGTTTATGTAAGAATTACTCTTGCACTGGGGACAGAACAGTTCTACACTCTCCATAAAATTTTCAAGTTAATTTTACAGTAGAATTTATTACACATAGCATAATAAGTCCTGTACTAATTAATGTATAAACTATTTACACATAGACGCATTATTTATGTAATTATTTACACATGTACTGTTTAGTACTGAAATATATTACACATAGGCTTATTATTTTTGGGTAGCATATACTTTCTATATTTTTACGTTTTTTTTATAACCCACGTATGACAGGAACTAGAGCAATAAGAAAGTGCGCATTTATCAACAGACCAATTGCACCACATGACAAATCAAGTGTAGTATACACAGTAGGAGTGCTTGATGAGAATGGCAGGTACACAGGAAGAGACACAATTTTATCTGTCTGTGGCCAGATCAGAAAGAGTGGCAATGCAGATAAGTTATTATATGCAAAGGCAGATGAGTTAATTCAATAAATAAATTCATAAAAGTATTTGTTTAAAAATATGAGAGTATGCATAGGAAATTGGAAGATGAATGGTGATAAAGAGACTGTTCATAGGATGTCACAGGTATTGAATAATATACAGGGCAGTATAAGTACTGTTAAGGTGGTAGTCTGTGTACCATACACTTTATTATACGAAGCAAGAAGGGAGTTTAATTCTGTATTTGAAATTGGTGCGCAGTGCATATGCCCATATGCCGAGAAAGGCTCGTATACAGGAGGAATTGGGCCATACCAAATAAAAGATGCTGGTGTAAATACAATATTAATAGGGCACTCAGAGCGGGAGAAGTACTTTCATGAGACAGAAGAAGAAATAAGAGACCAATTAAAAATTGCAATTAAAAATAGGCTGAATATTATTCTCTGTGTGGGAGAGTACGAAAAGGATGGAAGTACAGAGGAAACCAGTCAGATAATCAGGAATAGGTTAGATATAATTAAAACCCTAGAAATAAATAGTAGTGTAATCATAGCGTATGAACCAGTGTGGGCCATTGGTACTGGAGATGTTCCCAGTGCAGAGAGAATACAAAGTACAGTAAATATAATACATAATGAAGTGGGGGGTAAAATAGAAGGAATACTGTATGGTGGATCAGTTACAAAAGATTCTGTACAGAATTTATTGTGTATAAAGAATTTATCTGGGTTTCTTATAGGAAATGCATCTCTAACAGAAGAATTTGCAAGTATTTGTGAAATACTCAGTAAAAATGAACAAAACGGGCAAATAAAAGAAGAATGAGGTTAAGAGAGAAAACAACTAGAAATATGATCAATCTAATTAGAGCGGATAAAGTATAGAATATAGATAAGAATTTACATAATTCATTCTAAATATTTTGTATTCTAATAATAAATTATAATCAGTTATAATTTACTTTATTATGATATACTGATACATCCATTTAATCTATATGCATTACTATAAAAGACTACTGGTTTAATTTGGGATTATTAGTTGTATATTATTATAACTGTTATTTCCTGTATTGATTCGTGGACTTCTCATAAATTATTTTAAAATATTTAAACATTCAGGAAATATAAGTTATGGAAGCCATGGCAGTTATAATAATGACTTAATTTAACTGAATGAGTAACTATTACACCAGTATACTAAATTTGAGAGGTTTAAATTTCTATTTTATCAAATATCAGTAAGAAATATCAATTGTATATTTATAAAAGTGCAATAAACAGTAGTATATAATAATATAGTAATATGTATTCATTAACTTAATTATACTGTAAATAATATTTATTGTATAAAATTATTTTTATTGAATTTTTAGCTGCATTTCTTTATATTTTCTTTAATAATTCTATACTGTCGTGTCCCGTAGGTGGTAACTGTGAAGCCACTACATAATACTTCACTAAGTTCATGGAACGGAAAAGCTTGTTATTGGCATTAGTTAATTGTTTATTAATGTTATGATTCCTGGCATTTATTTTTACCTGACTTGCTTCTCAGATATAACCCGAAAATTAATTTATCCTAATTTGTCGAATACGATATACCATTAGGATAACTAAAATATGCAAGGCTATAAATAATATTTTATTTTTAATAAACCATGCATAGTTCACAGAATATAAAAATGAATATTTTAAATATTAAAGCAGTTAATTAGCTAATGCACTCCATTCTTTTTTAACTATATATATTAATAATATACTAGAAATAACCACCAGGGTAACCATAAGTGCCGGTATAATAGTGTCTTTAGGTGTAAACACATTTATATATTTATATTGAATTTGAGTAAATGGCTTAGTAATAACTAAAATATAATTTTTTGTTGATTCTAAATAGCCTTGAATCAGATTATTTGCAAAGCTTTCTTCAAACTTAAAATTATTATTTTTACATTCTTTTATACTATTAAGTAACAATGTTGAAGGAATTGATTTATGAATGCCTATGAATTCCAAATTGCGAAGATCGTTTAAATACACTTTAATTGTGTTTGAACATTTAGTAATATATAATTCAGGATGAGCTATGCTTATATCTATAAACATGTTATATACTACAATGTATAAATCAGAGATAGTTTGCTTTTTTTCTTCACTGGTTTTTAGTTTTAATATAAATAGATTTATACACAGAATTGCCTAAAAAATCGGACATATTGTCTAAATTAGATGTTTGTTTAAGCAGCTGCAATGAATAAATGTCATCATTGCTTATTTTTAATTTAGTTGCATTTAGATCGCTTATTTCATTTTTATCTGATGCAATTGACGTACTACTATACTGCATTAGTATATTTAATGCTCTTTGTAGTCTAGAGCACATTTTAATTTGATTTTGCATAGAAAGCATAGCCAGTGCTTTTTCGGCAGATAAATTATGGTTTAATTGCTTGATACTTGCCTCTTTGCACAGTTTATTAATGATAAAATTAAATGAATCTGACCCAAGTACATATGAATTCGCCATAACGATATGGTTTTCTCCCATTAGATTATAGAACGCCTCTTTTTTATCGCTGTCATGCAGCTCCTCTGCTAAATCTACAATCATTCTGATAACCAGTTTTATGTGATTTATAGATTTATTAACTATTGATATAATATTGCTCTTGTTCCATTTGTTAATGCACGCAGTTCTTTGAAATAGCTGTATAGAAAGTGCATTATATGCTAGATTTTTTAATGGGCCTGGCATTTCTGCAAACATTCTTGCTTTCTTGCAAATATCTGTTAATTTATATATTAGTATACATGCTTCCTTCTTTATAGTATCTTCTTTTATTTGGGAGAGTGCTTTTTCTATTGTTTTTTCTATCTCACTACTATCAATTGAATCTAACATAAATAATATAAAGAATAAAATTTTTATCTTAAAGAAGCAATGCATAAATTAAGCAAATGTTTCATAGATATGACAGCATAAATTAAATAAATAAGAACTTATAGTTTGCATAATATGGTAAAATTGTTCCCAACAAATTAAACTAAGATAAAATCTTATTAAACTAATTATTAATATATAGCCTCTTGGTAACAAAAATAATTTCTTTAATAAAAAACAGCTAATGTGTCAAAATAAATAAAATTAATCCTGTGGTCTATAACCAAGCATTGAAAAGTAGATAAATACTAAAGTTTACTAAAACTAACTCTAAGAATTTGACCAACATTATATGTGACTGTTACATATCTCAACAAAAAGATCAAAGACCATTTTTATTATGACTACTAAAACATATAATAGTCTGGTATGTTCTATCTAGACTTTATTTGTCTATTTGTTATATATAAACTATTTCTATGGGTATATTCCTTCTGTTGCATATTTATTCCTATTCTGTTAATTGTTTATAATAACTTTCTAGGGTCTTTTATAAAATTTATATCTTCTATAATAAATATTCTGCATAGTTTACATAGATTCTTTTTTAAATTATAAGAGAAAAGTAAATATGTTATAATTTCGGTTATAAATACCTTCTTAGTATTTTTGTATATAATAACCAGAATACACTCACAGCTACAAACAATATTAATATATTAATCAAAATATCTATAATTGTATGCTCTGTTTCACTCTTATCTGTTTCTAGAGTAAATGCATACATGCGGATGGTTTCGTTTGAATCCGTTTCCTCATATTGTGGTGTTATTAAAGGCACTTCACCTTTATCATCAGCTTTATTGTAAACATCTGGGGAAATTACATAGAGCTCTTTAGGGGTGTTTGTCACTGCTGCAGTTCTAGTGTCTGGTGTTGTATTCAGAAAGGTGTCTTGATTCATTCTTTCATGCGATTTAGTAGCTAAACTAAAGTCCTTAATAACATCGCATGTCTCATGAAAAAATTCGTCTTCTGTGTTTGAAACTTCATGCCCAGCACGATTTAGCTTATTAGACTGATCCTTTTTAGTTTTTTGATTAGTGTTTGTTATGTAATTTGAGTTTGATATGACATAAGTCTGCACCAATTCTGCTACGCTCCAAATAGATTGAATTTGATCCGTAAGCAAATGGTTCAAAAATAACAAATCCATGTTAACCCGATGATAACTCATGAAATTAAAGACTATATTGATGCTTTTACAAATATCGCTATTAATACACAATAACATATTCATTATTTGCTCTAACAAAAACATTACTGCTCTATTAAGGGCATCTATGTTATTCTCAGTCAAATTTGTAATGTTTTTATCTCTAAGTGCACTACGCGATAAACGAATCAGTTTGTAAATGTGGTTAAAATACCTATTTGTATTCTTATTTTTTTTATTACTATATAAATGTCTAGCTGTATTGCCTTCTATATAGTTCTTTAATGAAATAAAAAATTCATTATTGTCATTTTTCAGTATATTCTCTATTAACCTAACTAGATAAATCGCTTGGTGAACAAAAGAGTAGTTTGTGGCCTGCCAACCAAGTAGATGTTGCAGATACTTCCTGTTCACTCCAATCTTACTCCATGTGCTTATATCAAATAATGCTAGGTTTTTTTCTTTAAATTCATCGAACTCATGCTGCGCGCGCATGAATTCATCTATCTGGAAATAAATAATTCCAAAGAATTTTATTATTTTCATTTTTACTTTATTCAATTCTACTTGTAATTCAATATATTGCTTTAGTGTTTTTTCTTCTAATTTTTCTTTTATATACTCATCTATAGAACTATATTTAAATAATTCTTTATTAAATCTAAATTGCTTATATACATATGGAAGCTGTATCAAATTTATAAAGATTTTTACCAGCTGTTTCTTAGTTAAAAGATCCTCTACTGAAGAATACTTCTTTTCACTAGAGGAACTTTCAAAACCACCCCCTTCTTTCCATTCATCTTTTTCATTTGAATAATCTGTTTTTTCGCTACTAGAGTTATTTAAATCATTCACAGAGAGTAGAATTATATTTCTAAAAACATTTGCAATGCTCTTATACCATTTGATATTACATGGCATAAGCACGGGCACGCCAATTAATCTATAATTTATTCCATTTAAGTCTTTCTTCTTATTCCCTAAATATTTACTAAATACCTCGTTGTTAATTAATGTATAAATAGAATCGTACTTGTTGGAATTTTTTCTCCATGCACTTGAATCTGTATAATCATTTGTTATAATGCTATAATTATTTTTTTGTACGTTTCTATTAAATTATATAATGATTTTCTATCCAATTTAAGATTCGATGTGTGCTCTTTTAGTTCCTTCCAGACATAAGATTGATCTGTATTTATACTTCTCTTTTCTTTTGGGATATTGTTTGATATTTCTTCATCATTATCATTATATTTATCCGCTTCATGTTCTAGCATATCTAAAGAATCTTTCATATATTCTTTTGACTGAGTTGAAAAAGTAGCATTTTGTGGCGAAACATTATCTCCAACGATTCTTGTTTTGCTATTGGTATATATGCCATTGTTTTCTGCTATATACTCATTCATTCTATATATAGTTGCTGTTACTAAAATGAGTTTTATATAAAGAGCTCCTACTGCAATTATGCCTTGAGATAGCTTTTTCATAAAATATTTTATTTTGTTATATTTATACATTATTATATTTATTCCTATCAGCAAATTAAACCCAAGTATAACTCATTAAACTACTTATTATGGTTGACTTACTCATCTGGTGCAACTATCATTATCCGGATAACATAGTCTAATACAGAAACAGTTTAGAGTAACTATTCTTTATCTCCATTTATTATAATCTATGCGCATATCCATATATTAAGTCCTAGTCGTATTAGTTATTCTTTGTACTAAATTTTAAAGTGTTTATTCAAATATTCCATGAGCCTCTCCTTTTTGCTAGGAGTACACTGCTTAAATAGTTGAAATGTAATTAGTTCCTTTGTAATTCCTGTTTTTTAACAAAACCACTATCTGTGGCATCTGACATGCCCCTTCTGATTGTACATGTATGCTTGATGGTGTTTTATAAATGCGTTGCTTTAACTCTTTAGTATTCTAAGAATATGAAATGTATTTAATTTCTAAATAAATTTGTTTTCTATTAACTATTAGTAAAATAAAAGTTATACTGTAGACTATTTATATAATTATTATTTTAAATAATGAATAAATAATTTTATTTAAAACAAATCTTTGTATAGGCTTTATTTAATAATTACTAATACACACCCTTTAGTTCTTTTGTTTATTTAATGATACATATAGTGAATATAAAAGATATACAACAGGAAAGACAAAAATAACATTTTTATCTGTAAATTTCTATAAAAGCTATAGTGACACTACCACTCAAGCGCGCATGCTCAAGACCAATCCTTCAATGCGCCTACGCGCGTGGCGATCCCGTCACGGCAAAAGGCAGGGATCTAAGAATCACGGATCAACTTTGGACTATATAAGTAGCACGTACCCAAACAATAATGGGAGAAACAATAGGAAAACCACGGGAAACATTTACTAAAAGGCTCAGCGCCAGTAGCGCCACAAGGACTCCGCGTCCGCGCGCATCCTAATATTCTAATAATCATAATAAAAAGCATCCCTCAATACTATCTGTATCTATTATGGACTATGTTATCGGGGCCTCCACATGAGCACATCAATAACTGTTAAGAGACCTATCTACTCGTCTGCCCAATTATTCTCTATTTTCTTGTTTTATGCTTTATAGCAGTTCTTTTTATAATATTTCATAAATATTCAACTTGAGATGAATTAAACTAAAAATAAAACTTAAATAAATGCCTAATAACTATGCTCTCTGACAAATTATATTTAGCTATACACAAGATATGTGTAATATATTTGTATAATAATCCGAAATAACCTAAAATAATTAGCAATACAGAATATACAGTAGTAAACACGTACTAATTTATTCATATTCAATGAATATTCACTTCATTTCTACAATACCTTTATAAATCTTCTTAGCATTAAAGAATGGATTGTATTTGTACTTTTCCATATGCTTCCTTATTTTTATGACTGTTAAATATACCAACCCGCAGAAGTATATTATCAGTATGGGAGTGAACACAGGAATATTAAATACGGGGAAGAATGTCATAACTATTCCAGCGAAACAGGCTTTAATTGATTGCAGCCAGTACTCAAACTCGGGAAGTCTTCGTATAAATGGCTTAGACTCGTCTCCACTCTTTTTAATTGGCGAAGAAATAACTGTTTCTTCCTCCTCTATGTCGAATGGGTCTGGCAATTCGCTGTCAACAGGCGTACAGAACCCAATAAAGCAGTGGAGAAAATATAAAAATAGGCAATAGGCAACCAAACGATACCCACCCGTTAGAATTATTCTCCACACAAATACTACAAATAGAAACAGAAACGCGCACCATCTTTGCTTTATCATTCCTACGGACATATCAGCATAAGACTGTATCAAGTGCTGTAATTTCATGCCAAAAAAAATAATTCACGTTTTCATATAAGCGCACAGGCAGCAACAGAGAGGTTCTTTGTATGAATATATCGAGCGCATGTGGTTTAATGGTATAATTCTCGCTTGCCATGCGAGAGACCCGGGTTCGATTCCCGGCATGCGCATTCTTTTTTATTTTTTTGTCTAATATGAAAACACACCAAAAATAAAAAAATTAGCATGAACGTACCAAAAGAAAAGCTTGGTGTGCTTGAAACACTAAAGGTATCTTCTCTTGCCTTTTCTGCTATATATTGCACAATCTATGTAACTAAAGCCAACAAGCACTTGAATGCCCATGAGAACATTCTTATAGGAGGAATAAGTGAACTAATCAAAGCGCTGGTTTGCTTTACATGCTCATTTTATAGGGAAGGCTATGAGAGTGCTGAGTATTTAAGGGGGTATATGCTCTCTGGTATTTTGTCTTCGCTGCAGTCTCTCACATGGATGCAAGTAAGTCAGATATTCCCCAATTTAATTGTGCTGATATCTGCACAGACTAGAATATTCTTTGTATTTCTAATGGCAATTGTATTTCTTAATAGAAGATATACTAAAATACAATACAGCTCACAGGGGCTTCTCCTGCTGGGGGTGTTCACGCCCCTTATATTTGGAGAGTCCGAATCGTTTAAGTCAGAGTCTTCTTCTTTTATAGACTATCTAATGCTTGTGAGTCTTCCCATTTTCTCAGCGTGTACTGGGATAATTTTTGAGATATTTATTGCGCCCAAAATGAAGAGTAAGTGGAAGAGTGCTGTTAATCACTCTGGAACTAGCGCGGCCATTTCATTCTTAATTATATTCTGCATTTTCTGTGCTGGTAAGCTTAACATAAGCTATGACCACATTAAAGAAATTATGTTTGTATCACTGGTTAAGTCTGGGGACAGCCTTGTTTTTGGGTACTTTGTTATAAAGTATACTACCCTGATCAGAATATTAATCACGCTGGCAATCAGCCCACTGTCGTCTTTTATTATTTCTTATCAGTTCTCAGAGGATATCACTGGGGTAAAAATAGCATCTGTTGCAGTTATACTTCTAAGCATTCTTATGTTCCATATACCGTATTATAGAAACAGACAAATCACGAATAAATAAAAATTTTGTTAATCCGGCAATCGATATGTCAATCATACCTGCTGCAGTCTGCATGCATGTGCCATGCTAATTATGCTCTGTTGGAAATGTGATTATAAGATATTTTTGGCGTGTAATAATAATCACTTAATTCGGTGTGCCTAATTTCAGTATATAATGCTTTCACTGCTAAAGTGGACAATTGGCTGTGCCTAGGCTGCATTTGGGCATTTTATGGCGTACGCTTTAAAACAATACCAAAATATTTATTAATGTTATTTATTATGAAAAGCATTTTTGATTATATCTTGGCGAGGTATCGCTGCTAATGCAACTGTTAACTATGTGATTTTTTAGAATAACAGTAAAAATGGCGAAAATTATAAAACCATATGATTTTTTATAACAGAATTATTCGGGGTATTTCATATTTCGATGCTTTGGTAGTGTTTTAAATGCTTCCTTTGTTACTCTGTTGTATTTTTACTTCTTCTGATTTTTTCTCATCTTTATTGGATGGTGAGGCGTATGTGGCTATGTCTGCTTTTATTTTACTATACAGCATTTCCTGCACAGCTTTATTATATGCATCCGTCTTTTCTACTTCCTTATCAAGACTAGGTAGCTTTCTGTCTATCAGACATACAATAATAGTATATAACAGATCGGATAAATATGAAATAAAACAAAATGGCAGGCATGAAGCAACCACTGCAGTTTTAGTGTAAAATGAGCTTATTTCTGCAACAGTACATGCTGGTATTCTAAAGGATCCTACCATAATGTCATTTATCACTAGATGTGCCCACAGATCGTTTTCTGGGTCTATTATAATTGTCTTGCTGGGTTTCCAACTACGCCAATCTTTTAATGTTTTAGTTAGAATAGTCTTATTAATATACAGTGGGAAAAAAATAACATGCGGCTCTTGTGTTATCATCATCATTACATCCAAATACGCTATTGGCACATTATTCCTTAAAATCACAATGTATGTGCTTTTATGGTCTTCCGTCTTATCAGTGTTTAGAACTTCATTCTTTACCAACTCAGACTCTGGTTTTATTTTTTTTGTGTATTTTGCTATGAATAAGTTCTTATTGTAGTAAGAAGTTAGAAAAGTTGTGTATTTGTCGTTTGCTACATATAATTTTTCCCCGCGTAATACCAGAAATAAATCGAAGTTGAAATTCATATACCTCCAAATCCACCAACCTGCGCTCTTTATACTACCTAAAGAAAAAAAGGAAACCGGCCTGGAATTGCCAATGTATTTAATCACATTAACTGCCTTTTCTACTAAGCTGCTCTTTTTTGCCGATTCGGGTATATGGAAGCCAATAATATTTTTTTGTGTGTAATTGTTTATACAAGTATATACAAACTCGAGTATCGGAGACATCTTAGTATATGACGATATATCATAATGTAGATCAATTGTATTTGGTAGTATAAATGAGGTAACAACTGACACTGTGCTTTTTTCAGAAGATGGTTCTGTACTGCACGAATTAATTTCATTATGGTTCCAGACAAATTCGTTTATATAAATAACAATTGCACTATCATCAGGACTTTTGTTGAAATTTAATACATTTGCTATGTGAAAGTCTTTTATCTGAATAGACATGTCGATCTCTCTCTTCTTGGCTCCAAAGAGATTAGACAGGGTTTGAACCATATTTTTAATGTACCATTCATCCAATACACTGCTTTGTATAGTTAGCGGTAGAATAAGGTTGGTACAGTTCATGCCCTTTATAATTTGCTTCTGTTTGTCTGTGATTGGAATAGGGTGCAGCTTAGTATCAAGTTTATATTTCGGCTGTGCTTTGCCATTGCTTTTTCTCTTATTTGGGTTGTTGTATATGTATTTGTCACTATATAGCACCTTATTATCATTGTATTTCTGCTTTGTATTCCTTAGAATAGTTATAAAAGAGTCTGCATAACCAGGCAGTGCCGCAGGAATATTTGTTTTATAGCTATTGTTCCGCGGTATCTTTACTGGTGTAAATATATCGTCATTTTCTATATAAATACTTCGCATTTTCTGCATATCAATACTTAACGTGGCATTGTTATACACCTGAATTTTTTCAGATGGCACGCCGTTCTTTTTTAAATATCTAATCAAAAAACTTACAATCATTCTGAATATGTGTACATCTGGCAAACTAAAAATTTTTTTTCCTGTTTGTCTTTATCAATACAGCCCATTTCGAAAACTAGTGGACCTGGATTCTGGTTATCCATTAAATAATTAAACATCGCATGGTATATCTTCAAAGACAGTTCCCCATGCAACCTGAATGGCTCTTTTGATATGCACATCTTTATAAAATCAATTGTGAAGAATATAAACATATCGTCCTGTTGTATCATTTTGATGTAGACGTTAGAAACCGATGCGATCCCATTTTTACTCTCAATAGCTAAATTGCTTGGACCCAAGTTCATAAACTTATTTCCATATGAAAGAATAGAAGACAAAAATATGTAATCTGGATTACTTCCATCTGCATTAAGTTCCACGGCAAGTTTTTTGTTTGGGTTCAGGCTGTTCTTATAGTGCTGCTCCTCATTTTCCTTTGATGGGAATGGGTCTGATGGGTCATTTCCTAAAACTACACACATAACTATTTTAAATAACAGACGTAAATTTTCATTGAATGGGTTAAAGTACCCATTGATTCCGTGCACCCCAAGTGTCAGCCTTTCTGGAATTGTACTCTTCCAAAAAGTATTTTTAATGCATATACTATCATCCATGCTCCCCTCTCTATCGTGGTACTTTCCTATTCTAATAGTGTTATTGGTTTTTGTACGATAAACTAGGCACACTTCGATTGGATCAACAGATATAATATGCTCCGCCTCTATAGAGTTGTCTCTGCGTAGTACAACACCTGTAGAAGGAACCCACAGGGAGAAAACAATTGCAGATTCTTTGGAGCTATCTGCTGGCTTATTGGATATCGGCATCTCTTTCAAGTGGAATAGTATCCTAGATATCTTTGGCTCACTCAGCCAGTCTTTAGGATACATGTCTTCTGTATTTGCTTCCCTTTCTTTGTATTTTAAGAACTCTACTGCTGGCTCCCATGTCGTGAATAGGTTTTTAATTACATTATTTATAATAGCATCAATGTTTTTTATAATGTGAGCATTTCTAGCCTTCTCATTTCTTTTATGTGGATTATGTAAAGCTAAATGAATAGGGCTCAGCTTATACTCATCTGAATCATTTTCATAATTAGCTATTCGAATCAAAGAAAACTTTTCTGTTCTTTCTGGCCCATTGTCATATGTATTTACAAATAGCTGGATAACAGTTGTTATACTGCTACGAATGCTCCACTCATCACTTGCTGGACTTGCAAGCACATCAATATATGATCTATTCGCCCTTAGAGTAAAACCTATGTTGTGCTTCATAAGAACCGCATCAATGCCTTCCCATCCAATCCTTATATAATTCTCTTGCTCTTTTCTCTCCATGCACTCAACACTGTGTATTGCAAATGGGTGCAGCCCCCCATTCTTAGTAACTTCTGTTGACTTTAGTCCTTCAGCAGGGCTACAGAATAATAAAAATGGCTTCTGATCTAAAAACTTCCCCATACTAATTTGATTAGTTTCCTCGCACAGTAGAAGAGACATTCTGTATGTTGTATAATGCTTAGGATACTCCACAGTCGATGGAGAAGGAGTAATCCATTTGTATCCAACACTAATTCCCTGGCCTACTTTCCACCTTAGCCCAAACTTACTAAACATTTTATCCATGCTTGAGGTAGGGCAACTCCCTATGGATATTTCACATTTTTGCAGTGCAGAGGAAATATATGGATCTGTTTTTTTGAAAATATAAGAAAGCTCTGAGAAGTCACTTGGGAAAGAAAGCGTGGCCTCCACCACAAAGAACTTTTTGTAGTATTCTGGCGTGCGCATTTTGTCTAAGGCAGTATAGTGAGAGCCTGTTCCTACAATTACTATTTCATCATTTACTAGCATATTAAGATTCGTGCTAAAGATTTCTCCAGTGTTAAGACTCTCTATCATTCCTTCGTATGGGAATAATATTTCATTAAATATCAACTTACAGTGGATTCCATTGTTCTTTATCCTTTCTATCTTTCCTTCAAAGAGAGGGCTGGAAACTATTGGTAGCACAGTTTTCTTTCCTGGAACTATTCTGTTTATATATACCTTACTAATCTGCCTGATTATCCTATGATGGAACGCATACGGCATTGAATGGTATCTGTTGGCATTATTAAGGCTAAAAGTAAATACAATTGGGGTTTTATCCAGATACGCCTCTATTGCACTGCGCAAATTACAAATGTTGTTAGATGAGAGTGAAAGTGTGAATGTTGCTATGTTGCTTACTGTGTTTATAGACTCTATCTTCTCTTTTCCAGATGAGGCATTCAATGTTTCAACCTGATTGGAGTCCTCTTTCATGCTCTTATTTTTCACTCCTAGCAATGTGTTCGTATGTGTCGTATTTTTCCTCTCTAAAATCACTCCATTTCGTATTTTATGCTCATCTATTTTTATTGTGCCTACTCTTTTTTTGTCTATATAAAAACTCATTATAGTGTCCGGAATATTTATGGATAAAAAGCTTGGTATATTCTTGTACTTGTAATTGGCTTTAAGTGTTGTAATACGATTTTTCTCTTTTAATGTGTATCCCTTAAGTTCTATAGGTAAGGTTGGTCTCTTGCTTGGCTTCATATTTATGCCATTCTCATTATCGCCGTTCACTTCCTCACTGCTCTTAGGTAGTGTATCCACTAGCTTTCGTGCACTTTTGTTTATACCTATACTCATGCTATTTTTACCTATACACCACCCAAGTGTATACGGAAATACCACTGGTATACTTATACCAGGTAAATTGTTCTTTAGCTTTAAAAAGATAGTTCCTTTAAAGGTAAATAGCATGTGGTTTTCCACTTTTAATAAAAACTTTTCACTTATCTCGCACATCTTCTCTGGTATAACATACCTCATTGAAATATCTATTTTGTTCATTGGATTGTTCACAATCATAATCTCTTCGCTATATAAATACCCCATTGGATTTTCATTTCTTGAAGTGCCCAGCCCTATCATAATATCCTTTGCTGTTATACTAAAGTACGGTAAACCTGGTAGATAACTCACCGATAGTTTTATCATATCAGAATCTGTCAAATCTGCATTAGATATCTTAAGATTATTAAGATTGTGCTTTATACCTGTAAGGAATATGATTGAGCCCAGTAGTGGAGTTAAAAATATAAGCCAAAATGCGCTTATCCCAACTAAAAACAAAAATCCTATAATTTTTCTTTCTAGGCCGCTCTTCCTTTCGATTGCGCCTTTTCCTATTCTCATAAAATATTTTTTATTCTTTTTCTATTTATAGTTTTAAATTTCGGGTTATTCTATTATATATTACGAATGAATTAAACTAAAGATAAAATTTATTTAAATTCTTAATATTTCTGCTCTCTGGCAACATTATGTATAAAAGTCAAAAAGAGAAAATAAAAATAAAAATGAACAGAGAGCCAGGCCACGGCGTAGTCAGCCAATGCATAAAAGAGTGGAGGGAATACTTGGTTCAGGAGAAAGGCGCTTCTATAAAGAAAATACAGGCAATGCAGATAAAAAATACATTTAAGTCTCAAGCTGTAATGCCACAGACCACGCACAAACAAGAGGATAGTGAAGAGACAAGAAAGAGATTGAAGAAAGTCAGCCCACCCACAGAAAAGATGGATGATAAGGCTGTAATTCAGGCTGACCTGATGGAAAAGAAGGAGGTTGGTATATCTACCGCTAAAAATAGTGTAAAAGAAGAAAACACTACACCTTCTAGTGTTAATCCCGCGATAGAACATAAGAGCATAAAGAAAAGTTCTGCTGCTCCTACAACTACAAAGGGCATAAAAGATGTCAAAGCGAAAATTAATGTGTCTAAAGCTTCTAAAGAATTAGAAAAGGGAAAGGCTAAAGAAGAGGTTATTTCTAAAGAGGCATATGATAAGAAAATAGCCAATAAATTGAAGTATCAAAAGAAGAAACAGGCCGAAAAGGAAAAGTCTGCTGGATTAAGTAACAGTGGAAATACAAAAGTGGTACTAAATAAGAGCAATGACAGTTCTGATGTACCACAGAAGAAGGAAAAGAAAGAAGAAAAGATTCCTTTACAGAATGACCAGATGTGTATAGACAAAAAACTAGGCAAGGCTGATACACCGGCTAATACGCCCCGTCCAAATTTAATATCTCCGCTTAGCCTATTTGAGAAAATGAATCCTACGGCTGCAGTGGCTGGCCAGGATAGTTTAGTCATCGTACAGAAACCACCAGCGGAACCTACTTTTGCATCTGAAAATAGCAAGTCTACTGTTGCGAAAAGTGCAAACTCAACCGCCCCAGAGAAGCAGGATGTGCCTACTGTGAAGGCAGAGAAAGAAGGCACTAAGCCAGCCCTAGCATCTAGCCAAGAAGGAATATCTGAGAATAAGGTAAGCCCTGTCATAAAAACAGAGAAAGAGAAAGAAGAGGCACCTGCATCAGCTTCCTCTGATATTTCTCATATAAACACCTCTTTTATTCCTATTCATACGACCACCAGCATAGGAAAGGACGTGCTTTCGGTAGAGGTAGAGTCCAAGAAAGAAATATTAATTTCGGAGGGTTCCCCTGCATTGAAAGAGAGCGCATCCCCACAAAAACCCGCTACATCTTTGAATACAGCATCACCAACTAAAAAAGCAGAGGCCAATACTGAATCTGTGAATGTGCGGCCATCTGTTATTTCCAATGTATCTGAAAAGGGGCCAGTTTCTGCACTGTTTGTACAGAAAGAGAGCATACCAGATATAATTAAAGTAGACAAAAAAGATCTTTTAAAGAAATTATACAATGAATCATCTACTGAAATAGATAACCAAAAAAGCAAGAATATTCATCTGTCATCAACACTGTCAGTTGCCCATTCAGTGGATGAAAGTAACTTTGAGAGACTTCTTCCATTAAAGAATGAAATAACTGTGGAAGTGCCTAAAAAGGAAGCGCCTGCAGCGCCAGCACCACACATTCCTAACAAGATTGTGAATGACAGACGAAAAGACAGACCAAACCAGTCATTTGTAGGTCTAAAACCCGAAGAATTAAAGGAAAAGACATTTGAGCTAAATAAACTTCTAATGGGATTCAAAAATAAAATTAAAAAAGAACAACCACCGCAGCAAAAGCAGCCAGAACCACAGAAAAATAAAGATGCTTCTGATGAACAAAAGGAAAAGCCGGCAGAGCCAGAGCAAGTGTTCACCCCAGTTATTGATTTCTCAGATGATGATTCTGCCAGAGGTATTAACTATAATAAAAAATGGGTAGACAGCCCCTCTCTCCCCAGAAAATTACTTATGCAGAGTGAAGACCAAGCAGAGAAAATATTTGGATCATCGGTAAATACAAAGGTAAATCTAAAGGAAATGTTCTCTACACTCACAAATCTGCCAGCAGATAGCCCTACAAAAATGACATAAGAGTTGTATTTTAATAAAGATCATCCTTGGCTAAGTTTTATTGTTCTATAAGTTTCTTGTACAAAAGTGCTTTTCTGGTGGTATCTTCTAATTTTTTCACATTCACATACTCCTCGTCTATCCAAATTTCTTTAATCGCAGAGCCCCGAATAAAAACGTTATTTTTTGTTAAAAATGGAATATTTATCTTTTCTGTGTCTTTTAATTTAAAATTAAAGAATGTATCAATGTCTTCCAACACTCCTGTTATTTGCAAAGCAGTCTTCAATTCTATTCTTACCCTTTTATTAATTAGTGTCTTAAAGAGTGTAGTGACCACCATAAGAAAATAAAAAAAATAAAAGTTAAATAGTTCATTCTTAATAATTAAATCGGCTTGTTCTTTGTGCTGTTTATTATGTGTTTAACTCCTACCATTCTTATTGCTTTGTTAGTCTTATTGTTGGTTGTTCTTCATGGTTTAAGACATTTAACGGTATTTATGATTAAATTTAAGATTTATTTTATATTTGAATGTATTCATATTATATTTTAAATTAAAAGCGTATAGTAGTAATAGAATCTTTGAAGACTTTTAATTTAAATATGACATGAATAATATGAATAAATCTAAAATAGAATCACTAGATACCCCATTTATTAAACTAAAATATAACAATATAGAAGCAGACAAATTGATTATAACCCACAAACTTACAACATTATTTACTACACACAACTTAATTGAAAACATATCTAATACAACTTAGGCACCGCATTAAATATTCTATTAGACTTCAGCGTACCTTTAATATATTTAAGATTTAATATGTATTAAAATATATTTTTAAGTATGAGATATTTTATTTATTTATAATGAAAAAGATTCTACCAACTAAGATAATATGTACATTGGGGCCAGCCAGCAGCACAGAAGAGAAAATTCGGCAGATGTTTGATGAGGGAATGGCAATTGCAAGAATAAACTTAAGCCATGCTACAGGAGAAGGAAATTCTTCACTAATTGAGACAATAAATAAAATCAGAAAAGAACCAAAATATTCCTCATTAAGTATTGCCATGGACACAAAAGGCCCAGAAATTAGACTGGGTGAAATGGAAGAAGCAGAAGTAAATATTGCAGTGGGAGACACTGTAATTCTCACAACAGACACAAAATATGCTAAGTGCTGCACTAAAGACAGAATGTATATAGATCACAGAAACATATACAATGACTTAACTGAGGATACAAAATGTATTTTTATTGACGATGGAAAAATAGAACTGGAAATAGTGGATATATCCAAGGAGAAGGAAATTATAAGCACAAAAGCAAAAAGCACAGGAGTTGTTTCATCTAAAAAGGGAGTAAACATTCCAGGGATAAAGCTGACTCTTCCGAATCTAACAGAAAATGACATAAAATCAATCCAGTATGGCATTAAAAATGGGATTGATTTAATATTTGCATCATTTATTCAGAGTGCTAAGGATATACGTGACATAAAAAAAATTCTTAATGGAAATACAGAAATTAAAATAATTGCTAAAATAGAAAGCACTCAAGGATTAGCAAACATAGCAGAAATAATTGACGAGTCAGATGGAATAATGATTGCTCGTGGTGATCTGGGGATAGAAACAGATTATTCAAATCTCTTCTACGCGCAGTGTAAGATATCACATGAGTGCAGAATAAAGAACAAGCCATTTATAGTTGCCACAGAAATACTAGAGAGTATGAAAAAATCACTAAAGCCAACTCGTGCAGAAGTAACAGACTTGTCTTTTGCAGTAATTTCTGGCGCAGCGTGTGTTATGCTCAGTGGAGAAAGTGCAGTTGGTGTTGATCCAGTAAACACAGTTCGTGTAATGCACCAAATAATAGAACGAAGTAGTGAGGCAGCTATATTCACTGACGTCTTTAATGATTGCTTGGTGCTGCGCAATAACACTATAAAGGTGTCTATTACTAATTCCAATGCGATTCTCAGAGAGAAAAATATCTTGTTTGGCTGGTCAGCTATTGACTCTAATATAAGCACAGATGACATTAGCGTACCAAATGGGTATTTAATTGAAAAAATAACAGAGGATGAGTAAATACAGGATTCTACTACAGAAAGGGAAATCAGAAAAATCTATTTTAGTAATAAAAGGCATAAATAAATTGTTTTAAATTTTTAAAGTATATGGAAGATAACGTGAAGAGAAGCCAGGGCAGGGTTCTAAAAGGGAAGGCAAGCAAAGCCAAGATGGCGGCTAGTAAGTTTCTGAAATGTGATCCATCTGAGTTAGTTGCAGAGAAAGAAAAGGCAGGCTATAGTAACATTGTATATAAAATTATAAAGGGCAAGGATAAATATCTGTATAAAGAATACTTAGCAAAAACAAAGGAGTCAATGGAGCTACGCTGGCAGAGGTTTTTTAAAAGCCCCAAAATACTTTTCGAGTGCGAGTACTATCATATTGATGAGTACATTGACCACGTGCCACTTACGAAAGAATTAATTAAAGACAAAGAAATCATACAGAATCTAGCCAGGGCAGTTGCGGAGATACATTCGGCCGAGAACGTTCCAGAATGTCGCGAAATGAATATTTTCTATTTAAATGCCATGAAAAGGGAAAGAAACAACTTAAATTCCAGAATACGATTTATTAGATTTGCACAGATCTGCAAGAAGATAGAAAAAAAGATAGAGTGTCACTATAGTGAAAGCATGTTCAGTAAAGACATGTGTATCTGCCATAACGACTTGCAATTTGGAATATTTTGGTTCTTCCGCATATGAAAACTAAAATAATTGATTTTGAGCATGTTTCTATAAACATTCCAACGGTTGACATTGCAAATCTATTTAATGAAGCTTGCACTAATTATAATGCGCGCGGTGCACCATTACTAAAAAAGCAGCACTTTATAAAAACAAACAACGCAAAGATATTTGTAAAAGAGTATCTAGACCATAGAGGCATAAATATACCCACAGAGAAGGTTCTGCAGGAAATTGAAAAGATGCAAACCATATCACATTACTATTGGTTCATATGGGCGACTGACATGATTCTGAAAAATAAAACAAAGAGTGGACTAGACTATATGACTTTTGCAAAATATAGACTGCAGTATCTTGAAAAGGATAATTTTATAACTAAAAATAACATTAAAGAGCTAATTAGCTTTATTACAAATAGTCTGTAAAGTATTCACTTTCTAGTAAAATAGATAGAGTGTTTTGATTATTTAGCAGCAGAATGGCGCCATATAAACTGCATATGAGATAAATTTGGTTTTTTCATGGTTATACTGTAAGGAATATTCTAAGTGTTTTAGATTATTAATAATGGTATAAAAATACTGCTGCATTCTTACAGTATCACCTAAACATATCTAAACTTGCCTCTAGTATATGTGAAGTGTCTAGCCCATGTATTAGGCAGTAAAGTATCCATCTTCGTCCGTTTCTGCCTTTCTTTTCTTTCGCCAAGACTGTCCAGTTTTTTCAAGTAAGTCAGAGGCTTCTTCTAATTTTTTGTCCAAGCTGCTTAAATCACTTACCTCATTATATGACACGTGAATAATTGGGTTACTACAAAAATCAATTGCATCATTAATGCTGGTAAAATCAATTATTATCTGATATATAAACCCAGCTTCTGTTCCATCGTTTTTTTGCTTTTTTGTGTAACTGACAGTATAAGACTTCTCAGAGCTTACGTTTATTAGTGCATTGAATGGAAGAGTGAACGCAACAGTGCCCTCTTGTCTAAGGACAGGCGTTGGATATTGCGATTTAAATTCAGTACTTTGCAGCTTAAATGGGAAACATACCGTAATGCATTCTACAGCCATAAGAATAAATACGTAAAATAAATTTTAAATTTTGGTTAAAAAGGCTAAAAACTGTACGCTTTTAATCTAGAATATGTTGGGTTATATCTAACTATATAAAATGAGTAGTTGCCTTGGTAAGCCTGTCCATTACACCACGCCCCTCCTTGGTTTTTTCTATTTCCACTGTGTATATTACAGATACGTGTCTATCTAAGTATCTAAGGCCATCAAATATTCTGTGTGCTGCTTCTTTTGTATTATTTCCGAGAAGATATACCATGTCTGGTGATTGAATAATATTCTGGTATTCGTCTGGCAAAAGGAACCCAAACGCTATTTTAGATTCAGCACATACTATATCTTTATCGAGTGCTTTAGATAGACTTGCTACAGTAAATAGTTTTTGGCGAATGGCTTCTTTTGTGCCTGTAATCATAATTACAGTTGCTGTAGGTGAGTAGTGCTTGTATCGAGTGCCTGGGGCTATTGTGCCATCCACTGTGCCCGAGCCACCGTGGATCTCCAGCTTCGGTATATATTCCTTTACTTCTTCGTATGAAATAGCACCTGCTCGCAGCAATAAAGGCGTGTCCAGTATTCCATTAACTATAGTAGACTCAATCCCTTTCTCGCACATACCTCCATCAATAATCAATGATACATCCCCATTTAAGTCATCAAACACATGCTGCGCAGTGGTTGGGCTTGGCCTGCCGCTTTTATTTGCGGATGGGCCTACAATTGGCTCGCCTAAATAATCAATTACTCGAAGTATGTCCTTATGGTCTGGCATACGAACTGCAACATACTCACTCCCAGCTGTAACAGAGTATGGAAGATTGGCAGCCTTCTTAAAGAGAAGAGTCAAGGGACCCGGCCAAAACTCATTAATCAACTCGTTATACACCTCTGGAATGTCCCCTACTATGCACTTCCTTAGCATATCCAAAGAAGACACATGCACAATTAACGGGTTATCCTGTGGTCTGTTTTTTATTTCAAATACTTTTTTAATTAAATCTTCTCTCCAAACAGACGCACCAAGGCCATATACCGTTTCTGTTGGAAATGCAACCGGCCCATTAATAAACTCCTCTGAGATTTTAGACAGATTTCCTTCTACTCTAACTATTTTCGTATGCATAAAAATTTTATACTCGCTGTTCATAAATACTACAACACACCGCGATAGTCAACTAAATATCTGACATGTCCTCTTCCTCAGTGTCTTCATACGATAATAGTTCTTTCTCTTCTTTCTCGTCTTTTTCTTCATTAAATTTACAATTATCTGCTTTGTGCTCAAGAAAATATCCTTGTTTCTGCAGTGTGCCCATATACGTATTTACTTTCTTGGGTACTCGACTGGATGGACATGTGTCTTTAAGTATACATTTGTCACAGAGCGGAATTCGCTTGCATATTACTGTCCCATGATGATCAAAGGCCGGGGGGACTTTTCCCCAAAGACTAAATGGAAACATGTTTTCTATACTCTGCTGCATCTTAAGACTGTTCACGTTCTTTTTCTTAGACCATTCATGTATCATGTTTAAATTTGGGGCATTAAGATTTTTAAGCCAGCCAAGTCTATATATAGCACGGCACATAGGAGCAGTAAGAACAATCTCATCCACCCGATTCCATGCATGATACATGATCATACTTGCTCGCAGGTTATTTATTATTGCGAACCTCAATAAACTGTTTGTTGTGTTGGGTATTTCGTTATACTTAATAATGTACATTCCAAGATTCTTAATGCTAATTGCATCTTTAATTGATATTCTATTTTTCAAGCATGCTCTTATTTCTATAGAAGTAGCTCTGGCTATTTCAACAGGATTTATTACGCCCTCCTTAGAGCATGTCCAGTTGCTTGCAGGCAGTTCTTCTGTGCTCTTTGCCCTAAGCTGTATTAACTTCTTAATCTTAAACATACTTTGCTTAATTGATAATTTACCTGATAGTACGTAGTAAAAAAGAATGTAAACTCGCTTTAGCCGCTGATCTTCAATATCTTGAATTTCGCTGGGCAGGTCTGTGTAGTAGTCACTTTCACTTTTTTCTCTTTTCTCCCATGCATCGAATAGATCAAGCAGCACTTTATTCTTATCCATAGAAAATTTTCAAGAATAAAAGAAAGAATAAAAACCAAAAAATAAAATGAAAACAGACTTATATAAATAGAAATATATCTGGTTTTGTGTAGAATATTAACGAACCAAGAATATTTTAAAAAGGAATTTCTGGGCGCATTATATGAAAAGCTTAAAGAGTTTTTTTATTTTAAGATTTAATGGAAAGAGTGAAAGTCTTCCTGCGAGTGAAGGGAGAGAAGAGAGACGGGTCATTTATGTTTTCTGATAATTCAGTTATAGACAAAACTGGGATGTATGACTTTGATAGAATATTTTATGGATCAAATCAGGATGATGTGTTCCAAAGTGTATCTCCACTGATTAGCATGGCCTTAAATGGGTATAGCACAACAGTATTTACATATGGGCAAACTGGGAGTGGTAAGACATATACAATGGAAGGGACAGAAGAGAGTTTGGGGCTTATTCCACTAACTATAAAGAAGATATATTCAGAGAATGTTAGTAAAGTTACTTTGTCCGTTATAGAAGTGTATAATGAAAAGATTTACGATTTACTATCTATGAATCAGGTGAATGTAAGGGAGAGCACGGCTGGTGTGGTTCTGGATAGGATTCAGGTGGTAGAGTGCAATAAGTTTGAGGAGGCAATGGAAGTGTTTCGGAGTGGAATACGAAACAGAACGACTGGATCAAATGGAGTAAATTCCCGGAGCAGTCGCAGTCACATGGTATTTACCATTTCATTAGAAAAGCCCAGTGAAACCTATACAATTGAGTCAAAAATAACACTAGTGGACTTGGCTGGATCTGAAAAGCTGTCATATGACAGTTCTGTAAAGAGTGAGCGAGAAGATGCAAGGCAGTCGATTGGCTTTATGAGCAAAAGACTGAAAACATCTGAAAAAACGTTAGAAACAAGTAATATAAACAAAAGTCTTCTGTGTCTCAGCAGAATAATAAGCACCCTTTCAGCAGACAGCAAGGCAAAGCACATAAACTACAGAGACTCAAAGCTTACTTTTATATTAAGAGACTCTCTTAGTCAGAACTCCAATCTGGCGATAATTGGAACAGTAGATCCAGAGGACCAAACAGAAACAAAAAGTACAATTAGCTTCCTTTCGGCTGCAAAGAAAATAAAACTAACCCCGCAGCTTAAAACTAATGAGAAAGTAGCAGAAAAGCTAATTAACCAGATAAAGTGCTTAACTGCACAGAATCAGAATTTAAAAGATCAGGCTGAGTATTCTGCAGGAAAAAGCCCAAAAAAACAGTGCAAAAGTGTATTTAGAGGCCATATCTTCCTCAATAGAAGAGATGACTGCACTAATTCAGAGAGTAACTGCCGCGACATCCTCTGCCAACAGAATACATGAGCAAGTAAAAACTGTAAAGCTGAAAAACAATGAATTGGGGAATCTTCTGTTCGATCAATTAATTGAAAATAACAAAAAACAAATATTTCAAGATTTAAATATTATCCAAGATATAAAAATAACACCAAAATAGCGAATTTACTAAATACAGAAAAATCTATAAGAATGCTTGATATTCTTATAGCTATAGTGGTATTAAAGCAGTGGCTGCGATAGACTTTTAATTTGTTAGTTTTAAAACTCAACTTTCTTAAATATTTTTACTTTTTATTTGGCAATGAGTATGGATATGGAGAATATGTCACCACGGCACAAGCTAAACCAAGAGTGGGTATGGTGGTTTGACTGCCAAGATAAAAAATATACAAATAATGACAATTGGAGCGACTGTTTACAAAAACTAGGGACTGTTTCGGATATAGAGGTGTTCTGGAGTACATTAAAAGAAATCGGTGATTTATGTGTATTGCCCACTAGCTCAAATCTTCATTTTTTCAGAACTGGGATAGAGCCTATGTGGGAAGACCCACGCAATGCATCTGGTGGCAAGTGGGTTCTAGAACTATCCTTTGGAACAAACCCAAACCAAATATGGGCAAACACTTTACTTTTCTGTCTTTCTGAGTCTGTTATGGTGAGATCTGCAGATGGCGTTCTAAAGGATTCTATGGTCTCAGAGGCAGCAATAGATAAAAGCTATTCAAATGCTATTTGTGGTGCAGTTTTCTCTCCACGTAAGAACTACGTAAGGATAAGCATATGGACAAGCATAAAGGACAAGAAGGTTATGCGAATAGGTGAGTTATGGAGGGCGTTTGCAGAAATACCAGAGTCATCTAAACTTATTTTTAAAGCACACGAAAATGCACTTAAAGGATCAAGGGATTCCTCCACGGATGTCTTTTCTTTATAAGGGCTTGTTAGAATAAATTCAGCACAGTTCATAGAAGTGGTATGATTGGCATGGAAGTGCAATATATAGATGAACGAATAGGGAATAGGAATAAAATATTTATTTAAATGAAAATTAGTTTAAAATATTCATTAGAAATAACCATAAAAAGATGAAAGAATGGAGATTATTGCTAGATTAATCGTATAAAGGTCAAAATAGCACCAAAATAACGATTTCTGGTTATTTCGGATTATGCATGGTCTATAATATTACAGAAAGAGATTTCAGTAGTAAACAGGACTTACACACACCCTCTGCACCAGAACAGTTCTTTCCGCATTCTTTGCATGGATGGCTTTCCATCTGGTGTGAGTGTTTTTGCACGTGCTTTCCTGACTTGATAATTTTTAGAATTGATTGTGGATTTGTCTTTTCTAAGGCTTTTATGTATGTTCTGGCGTATCCCCGGAATGCACCGGGCGAGTACTTGCACTCAGTTGAAAAATACGGTAGGTTGTTGTAAAAGGCATACATTACTATTTCTTTCTCGTATACATCTGCAAGTGGTTTGCACCGGGGTATTACATCTTTAGACGTTGTCTGTGTTATTGGATGTGCACACTTAACTAGTCTATTCATGTCTCCTCGGAAGTAGTTCAAAAGAATAGTTTCTGCTATGTCATCTGCATTGTGCCCAGTAGCAATCATGTCCCCATTTAGAAGTTTGGCACCATCTTCTAGCGCACCTCGCCTAAACACTCCGCAGTATGTGCAGTTGCTCTTTCTACCAATTTTATCCACTACTTTATCCATCGTATATCCGTATATCTCGTCATAATCATTATTTTTAATGGAATCATTAGATCTTTCTCATTTGTGTGCACTACCTCTATTGACTTGTCTCTGTATCCTGATATCCCTTCATCAATACATAAAAGCCTCAGCTCCAAACCGTACTGGTGTCTTTTGTTCAGTATATTAAGAATGTGTGCCAAAACAGTCGAATCCTTCCCTCCGCTTACACCAATTATTAATCTTGTAGTGCCTTTAAACATCTCTGTTTCTTTGATTGTACTGTGCACCTGGTCTTCTATACTGCGGACAAAACACTTTTTACATAACTTCATTTTTGTTGATGGCCGGATTGTTATAGCTGGCTGTATTTTACACTCATTACAACCCATTTGAGGAAATAAAAAAACAGAAAATTTTACTATAACCCGAATACAGAAATGAAATTGAAATATTTCAGAATTCTTTATAGACAGTCTCTCTTCTTTCTTTTTATAATTAATACTCAAATTTTACAGATCTAATACCCCAAGCCAATTCAAGCTGTGATTTTATTTATAAAATTCTATTTATAATTATTTGAAAAGCCTTCATAAACACAAAGCACTGGTAGACTTTATATTTTTTGTAAGGCATAAATAATATTTTATTTTTAATAAATCATGCATAGCTCACATTTTTTATAAAAGTAACAATCGCGTGAGTATTAAAATAAACTAGTCGATTTCACCAAAATACTACATAAATACATAAACAAATACTACTGTACAAATAATATTTAATAATCTTTAATAATCTTTAATATACACCAAATTATACTGTACAATACCATATACCCCTAAATAACCATATCTTTACAAATTTAGGCATATATTATTTAGCCCGAATGTGATAAATAAGTAACTGCACCTATACTACTCATTATAACCATCCATTTACATGTTATAAAACTTAAAATTAAACTTAGCAAAACTATCAGCATAATATTCAGCATGTCTAATGTATATTTAGGTTTCTCTAGTTCTTCTGATTTTTGGTCTTCTGTCAGTTGATTGGTTTTTAATTTTATCCACTTTCTCATCTTAGTATAAATAAATCGCAGTATAATAATATTACTGTATATAAAAGTAAACCAAATTATAAAATTACATGCTAGGCCCATATAAGTACCCCCTAATAAATAAAATATTTTTGTCTTATAATACAGAACAAGAAGATTAGTACTGCATATTACACCAAGTATACACAGCTCTAGGGTTCTTAATGAGATAATACTTAATTTTTGTGCATTAGAGAAATAGCTGTTAAAGAACACTCCTATATACAAAGCCAGTGCAAAATAGAAAACAGATGTTACAAATAAGTACACAATAACATTTACAAATCCCAGGATAGCTAACGGCCACATCCAGTCATTTGGTTTAAGCTCTCCTAAAGAATAGAATAGTCTATAAGCAATAGGCAAAATACTTAAAATGGCTATACTATATGAAAATAGAAATATTGAAATAAGCAAAAATACATAAATATAATATCTAATAGTGCTGGAAATAGATGAGCTGAACTGTGACTCAATTGAATTGAATATGTTATCAAAAATCTTAAGAATATTAGATGAAATAGATGCCATGAACATACAAAACATATTCTTAACCATATTTTCCTGGAACATATCCATTCCCCCATTGTGCCATGTTGCTTTGTGGTTGGAGTTGATTTGTTTCTTGTACTACTTCCAATTTTACTTCTGGCTGTGCTAACGAATCTTCAGTGGTTTCAAATGCATTATTTTCGTTAATATGCGCATTAAATCCTGCTTCTTTTGCGGACTCAATAACCGAGTTTAATGATTTCATGAGTTTATCCATCTCCTGTTAAATTTTCTGGTTGATTATGTGATTCAATATGTTCCCATTTGCTTGTTCATGCATACGCCAATTGGTTGCTCTTTAAATATTTTTGTGCATCTAAGACGAATTAGTATATTTATACTTAAAGTAAATGAAAGATATTCTATTGAAAAATAGACCAGATTAAAATTAAAAATAGTTTATTTCTGGATGGATAATAGCGTACAACCTGTGTGATTTCTAGTATTCTCTTTCATTTGCGATTACGTCTATTTCGATTCTGTCATTTAAGTACCCGGAGAAGGTTTTCTCTTTTCCTTCCAGAAGGAATGATCCAAAGCATATAAGATAGAAATATCGCATAAGGTATTCTGTGTTGTCTGTTCTGGTGGCAATTGCTTCATATATATTCTGTATGTGGCTGCATTCTTTAATAATAGAATCAACTAGATTTTTACTTTCTCGTCCCATGGGAAGGGCCTGTACTAGCTTGGATATTATTTTGTAAGTGTCTGGGTACACAATGTCTAACTGTTTTTGTTTTAAAAGCTGTTTTCTTTCGGCGCATGTTAGGGTGTTCATGTGCTCTGTGAATCCTATTAATCTGGATATGACCATTCCCGTTGTGGTTCTTCCTCTTCCCATTTGACATGAAAAGATAAGAATTCTGGGTTTTGGTGCTGCCATGATTATTCTGTATAACTCATCAAATATCTCTGGAAGAGGAGTCTGCTCGTCTGATATAGGCATTCTATAGTACTTCAGACGACTGTTTATGAATACTTCTTTAGGAGTTAAAACATTTGTACTTATAACAGTCTCAGAGGACAGAATGGCTTCACCACTGTGTATTTCTTCATTGTGAAGAACCAATCCGCCCTTCCCAGATTCATTCAGGCAGTCAAGTTTCATTCTTTCTTCTATATCCTCTACCCACTCTCTGTTAATTCCTTCTGTAATAACATTCTCATATACCATATCTGTAGTACGTAGTACAAATGGGAATCCATCAATATAGACTATAGGCTCTTGCCGCAGACAGAACCAATGAATCGTTTGTCTAAAAGAGCTCTTTTTATTTGCACTACTTAGATTCATACGCTGAATACTCTCTAATATTTGCGGATTATTGAAGTAGTCAACTAATGATTGAACTCCCCAAGCAGTTGGCTGCGCTAGCCCTACAATTATGTCATTGTTAAAGCTCACTGACCGGAAATTACTGCACCCTTTTATATCGGTTGTATCTGCCTTTATAATTCTTAAGGCAGGGAAGAAGTCATTCTTCAGAATCGTGTGCGGTGTTAGAACATGCCCCCACGGCCGATTGATTATCTCCATCTTGGTCTCCTGCTCCTCTTCTTGCATAATTGGTGTATTTTCTGGGCTGCCGCCAAAGCGGGATGTTTCCATTGCCTTTATCTCATTCACACAGCTTTCATAAATGTTAAGAATATCTTTTCTCTTATTTAGCCAGTCTCTAAATGGAATAGAGGGATTCTCCAGCATGTATGAAGAAAGCGCAATGAATAATATATAGTTTATAAGAGATTTCTGGCCAACACACGATGTACTCTGCTCACTGTACACATCTTGGCCCATCACCTCGCTCCAAACAGATCTTACTATTAGCTCAGACTGAATTCCATTACTCAGTATTCTAATTAGTGTTTCTATAGATCTTACAAGCCCCGGCCTTGGTAAATTTGGAAGAGGCTCATTAGATTCCCGAATTTCTTCTGTTTTTGCCATCAAAATAACCAATATCTTAGCGATTTTGTTTCTTCCCAAGTATCCACTTGCTTGCAATATTATCGGGTGTCCTTTATGTGAGTTTATAACTGTATACAACATATTCAGCAGGTTAGGATTTAGAGGTGCCTTAGAAATCATTGGGATTCGCACATAGTCAATCTGCTCAGCCCCCATTTCATAAACAAACTCTTTGCATGTCTGTACCTTCTTGTCATTCACATTTGCGTGTTTTGTGCTGATTTTATTCACCTCATTGGTGAACAGCATGATTTCTCCTTGTTTTTGGCTTCCTTCGTTTCTTATTCTACGCACCAATATCTTTTCCTGATTATCGACTAATTCCTCTGTTAGCCCAGGAATAGTTCTTATGTTGCTGGTTGGATCAATTCGATCTCTCTCAGAATGAGGCACTCCTTCTATATAAACTACCGGCTCTGCCCGGAGATTTAGCCATAGCGCAGAAGTCTGCAAGAAAGACACATCTGTTTTAAGATTTGGCTGGTGAATCTGCAAAACCAATGGCTGTGTTTTTTTTGCTCGGTTCTTTTCCTTTTCAAAGAGCTTATTCATGTCCCGGTCTGCTTGAAGTATAGTCCCTGCTCCTATTATTGCTGTCCAGCCTTGATCAATTGGCTTGTGCTGAGTAATTATAGCAGGAATAAATAAATCCTCGCTTAGAACACTAGAAGAAATCTCCTGAATTATTCCCTGAACAACTGAAGATCCGCTTGCCCACTCAATAAAAGAACACTTCATCTCTTGCTTTTTATAAATTGCGTATAGAATTAGTGAGATGTAATTCTCAAGATATACCTGGCACCTCTTTAATGCCGTCTTAGTTCTGTTGTTCTGGAATCGCAGTATGCTTTCTAAGAGCAGCGCAAGAAGATTATACTCAGCAGAGCTCATAACAGTGTTCACTAAAACCCGTACACTTGGCAGATTCATTGCGTTCACTAATCGTTCAATCACCAAGTACTTTCCCTTTAGAGCTCTTTCCAGAACAGGAATAACATTTCCAGATTTAATTAAAAATTCTGGTAAATTCTCTTTTGGGTGCACGCTCTCAATCGATTTGATCACTTTTGTAAAGATAGAAAGCTTGTTCAGTGCCTCCACACTCTGTTTCTTGTTTATTACCTCCCGCAAAAGGCACAGACTCATTCCATACGAGGTTTTATCAAGCCCATTACTTGAATTAAATCCAATACTGTACTCAGAATAAGCAGAGCCTAAAACCTCTTCCTCTCTGTTAAGTAGCACATCAAGTACAGATATAAATGACTCTCTGTTATTAATCCTGTTTATTGGTACTCTGTAATATCTTATCCCGTCTATTTTCTTAAACACTTCTCTAACCGTCTCCACCTTTCTTACATATATATTACTGGCCCACAGAATTTTTGGGGTTTTCTCAGTATATACCTTTATAAATCCTCCTGATAAATTTGCCAATTCCTGCACATCCTTCTTTATTCTCTCCTCCATCTCTTCCATTCTCTTATAAGATATGCCAACAAATGACTTAATATTAGAAAATGGCGCCTTCTTGTCCTTCAGGAGGAATGGCAGTCCATTTATGTATATAACTGGCTGATCTCTTAAATTTATCCAAATAAGCTTTTTCTTGTAGAAGTTCGCTATATTATGAATCCCTTCTGCTGTCGGCTGTGATAACCCAAAAATATTCCCAGTTTTCCGGAAGTTGTTCACCCCCACAAACCCAGTTTCATTTTTATATTCATCTAAGATGCAGGGAGGCACTTCCTCCTTCAGAATTGATAGTTCTGTTAACACTAATGGCACGTACCTGCCTTCTACTTGCTTCATGTGAAATAAAAATATTTAAAAGAAATAACTTATAACAATCAAAAGTGTGTGCATTTCTGGAAATAAATCCAAAAAAAGACAATCTTATTTAAAATTAATTTAAAATTAAATAAAAACGGAAATTTAAATAAAATGCCTGATATTTCAATAATTTTACTCAGATTGGCCATGTGAGAACGCTTTCTGGCGTGTAAAACAAACAATAAAATATTTTCATATAAAATAAAACCCGATGTAACCCGAAAATACAACAATCAATATTTATTTATGTATGGATATGTTCCAGTCTTTTTTATAGTCTTCTTTTAGTGAATACACCATTCGTTCTAATAAATCATCTAGTTCTGATATATTATCCTGTGATTGTGGCCCTATCTGTAAGACTTTCTGATATTTTTTATCTGCGTATACATAGCCAGATGTGGCGTGCGCCGCGTGGTCACTCACAGAGAGTAGAATACCTTTCATCTGAATCCCTGCGTTTAGCAGTAGCACAGATATTGCATTGATTATAGCAGGCAGTATATTCTGTCCTGATGATATTACATAGACTTTAATGTCTAGCACACACCTGGGATAGTCTCTTAGGTATATTATATCCGACAGGATCATTTCAATGCTTTCTTGCATTGCTGCATACTGTGTCCGGGTTTCAGTACTTCCCAGCACGGTGGCACGGACAGTTCCACTGTATAAGTTAATAATGCTACCAGATGGTTCAAATGGTCCATTAAGCATGGCAAGCACCTTAGATTCTTCATTAGTAACTAAAACACCCGGCTTATCCATACCCAGTGCGTTATATTCGCAGTCAAAGTATCCCATACAAAAAATATTTGCAAAGAAACCAACAGAATATACTGGAATACATCAGAATAATTTATTATTGTAGTAAACAGACCAATCCCCATGAATATTCCAGAAACAATCAATAAAACCTTAAATTTACTATATTTATATCCCATTTAAGTGATTGTTAGATCAGAAATAGTAAAAATTAAGCATTTATACAGTAATATTTGTTCTAACGGGTATTTTAATTCAAACATCAAAAATCACCAGAATGTACATGTACACACAATATATGCAGTAATTTCTTAGTTATATAATAGAATTCTGCTTTGAATAATACTTCTGTATATATTGCTGCATTCTATGGTATGCCAAATGCACTCTTCCTGTATAGTGCTTCTCTCTTTCGCTTTCCACCCAAGGTAAAGACTGCGGGCATTCTTTGCACCGAATCATACTCACACCAGCCTTTGCATTCTTGTCTTCCAGAAGTCTTAGCTGTGTCTTTGTATACGCTGCCATTTTTTTATACCCATTAATTATAAAAATAGAATACTCTTCATTGAGTGTATTATATTCTAATACTTCTGGTGGCGGCTGGTGTTTTACCGCAATTAATGATGAAAGAATTTCTTTTATTTCATCCTTTAATTTATTCATGCAGTGTATAAGATGACTCTTATTTTGGAAGTATTTTACTCTTTGGGGGAAGTCGTTGAATATGTCTAAAAATACAGAAGGTTCTTTCTCCTCTAGTGGTACGTGGTAAAATATGCAGGGTTTCTTGTAGTTTTGTCTTAGCTCAGTCCTTGGGCATATGCCTAAAATATGATTGTAGCAAATAGACTGCTCATTGCTTATTATTCTGTGTCTACTATTGTCTGTGCACTCAGCAGGCGATCTTTCATACTTCTGAATTATTTCATCAAATGCAGCTGCGTTCTTGCTTCTCTTTCCCATTGCGCACGGAAAGTAAAAAATTTCCCTTGCGGGGAATTGAACCCCGGCCGTCGCGGTGAAAACGCGAAATCCTAGCCACTAGACCACAAGGGATCCATTAAATAGCAAAAACATTTCTGCTGACAGATCTTCCTTTGTATTCTATTACATGTGGGAAACAAACATTTTTTTTATAATGCTAGATGACCAAAGCATATGGGACAATATTGGAGGGAAAAACTCCTTTTGTTCTTTTAAGATGAAAACACAGACAGAGACTCTGTGCAGGAATGCAAACAACGTATCAGGAAGGTGCAGCAGAGAAACATGCCCACTCGCCAACTCTAAATATGCAACGGTTAGAGAGATAAAGGGGAAACTGTATCTTCTGCTAAAAGAACCAGAAAGAAGGCACAAGCCGAAATCACTCTATGAAAAGATCGAGTTAGGCGAAGACTATGAAAAGGCCTTTGAGACAATCTGCACTGAGCTAAAGGGCTGGGACCGATTTATTATGCACAAGTGCAAGCAGCGACTTACAAAGCTTTCTGACTATATGGAGCGAAAATCGCTTTTAGACGAAATGGGTCGGCCTATATACATTCACAGAAAGAAGAAGGCTGAGAGGCAGGACCGGGCAAGAGAAGCAAAGGCCGCCAGACAGGCAAAGATTGAGAATGCAATTGAAAAGGAAGTGCTTGAGCGATACAAACTAGGTGTATACGGAAACAAAGGAATGGTAGAGCAAGAAAAGACCACCAAGCAAGAAGAGAAGAGAAAGAAGTTGGGGCAGGTACAAACCCGGGGAATAAAGTATGTAACAGAATTTGAGGAGGATCCTGAAGAAGAGCACGAAGAGGAAGTGAAGAAAAAGCGAATGAAAATGGAGTGGTAGCCCAGTTATTATACCGTCTACAAGAGGGACAAGGCGCTGCACTTACAATATGGATAAATAGACATGCCAGCACGGCTGGACTACATTAGAGTATAAAGGAAATAAATTCTAGTTTTCTTTTTGTTGAATATTTTGGTGCTGTGTATACAGGCAGAATTTACTAAAATGGCAGTTATTATAATAAAACGAAAAAAATAACAGTAAAAATATTTAATTATAATTTGCACTTACAAAATATTTTATGGCAGCGGGAAGAAAAGACAAGCGACCATTTGCCTCTTCTAACAAAAGAGGCCCAGGAGGTCCAGGAGGACAGGGCAGGTTCCAGAGGAAGCCACCCATGAACAAGTCAAAGGAGGTTGTGCTGCAGCCACATCCACGGTTTAAGGGGGTATTTTTATCCCGAGGAAAGGAAGAAACACTGGCTACTAAAAATTTAACCCCGGGTGTTTCTGTGTACGGCGAGAAAAGAATACTAGCAGGACCCGATGATGCAAAGGTAGAGTACAGGGCATGGAACCCATTCAGAAGTAAGCTGGCTGCTGGTATTCTAGGGGGCCTGGAGAACATTCACATTGTTCCCGGATCAAAGGTTTTATATCTTGGTGCAGCATCAGGTACAAGTGTATCTCACGTGTCTGACCTGGTTGGGCCAGAGGGAGTTGTGTACGCAGTGGAGTTCAGTCACAGATCAGGAAGGGACCTGCTTGGGCTTGCAAAGAAGAGGCCAAACATTGTTCCAATCATTGAAGATGCAAGACTACCACAGAGGTACAGAATGCTTGTCCCCATGGTTGATGTAATATTTGCTGATGTTGCACAACCTGACCAGGCCCGTATTGTTGGTCTGAATGCCAAGTACTTCTTAAAGGAGAAAGGAGGAGTAGTTATTTCCATAAAGGCAAACTGCATTGACTCAGTCAAAGCTCCTTCTGAAGTATTTGCAAATGAAGTGAACATTCTTAGAAAGCTTGAAATTAAGCCAAAGGAGCAAACCACACTAGAGCCATACGAGAGAGACCACGCAATTGTTGTGGGAATATACAGAGACTCAAAGTAAAAAGTGGTCTTTTATATTAGCATCCAGCCATGCCCGTGCGCGTTGAACTGTGCTTCTAGGGACGGCCAGCCTTTATAAATAAAGATAAGGATAGGATCAAGTCGTACTTATACATTAAAGCATGCGTGATCAAAGTGCTACTGAAACCGAGCTGTGTGGGATACTTTCCTAAAAATCAAGCGGTTAATGATGTAAACAGCATTTTTTGATCCCAGGGGTTTACATTTTCATTCGCCATTCTTCAATCAGGGGAATTATGATATAAATACTTAGAAATCTTTCTCCGTTATAAATGGGAGACATAAACATAAAAACATCTAGTTTCGGAGCGTATAAAGACGTGGAAAAGCAAATTAAGAGCCAAGGCGTGATGAAATTTAAGAAAGAAGAGGAAACAACAGCAATGTATTTTGCACGAATGGGATCAAACACTCTATTTGGAATCATGGTTATTCTAATGTTTGTTGGATGGATATCAATCCTTCTGCAAATGGAAATTCCTGCATTTACACTGGTTGGTCTGTCTAAAACCGCATGTCTGCTGATTGTAGATCTTATACTGTCCGCTGGATGGGTTATTTTCATGGCATCATCAGTACTGGGAATTTCAAAAGGGATGGAGTACTTGTTCTCACTTGACACACGCCTATTTTCAACAGTTTCAGCGAGTGTTCTTATAGCATGTGGATCAGTTGGATGGGCCACATTAATTATGCGGGTGTGCAGTGGAATATTTGGTATTTGGTTCAATGACTATTACATGTGTGTTTGGACACTTACATCACTTAGTACTTTTATATGCACAGTAGGAGTAGTTCTGAATTATTATTCAAGATTCTTCTTTACTGAGAATGCAAATGACATTGACAAGCCATTATTTGACATTAAGTCAGATGAGCCTGTCCCAGACTTAAAAATAGATATATTAGACAAAAATACAAATGCTCCTAATAATATATATTTAGTTGGAGAAAAGCCAAGTGACCAAATATTAAATGTAACCGAAGGAACAGTCATACCAACAGCAGGCGATGCACTGGCAAAAGGAAGAGCCACATTCCAAGAAGAATCCAATAAGATAATTACAGGACAGAAGAATATAAAAAAATACTTTACTGACTATATAATATACTGGGCACTTATAATAGGATTCCCATTCATATTTCTGCCATTATTAGCAGGAACATTTTCATTTACAAGTGGAATCCATTGGATAACTCTAATGTCAACATGGTTTAACAGCACAACAAAAATTAACCAAGTATTCTTTTTTCTTATAATAGGAACACTGAATTGGATTTTTTCTGTATTTATTAGAGTAGTTAGTCTTATATGCGGATCATGCATAGGAGTATACAGATATTCAGAAAATGGTGTTTTTGCAGATGTATATAACAAGATAAGCACTATAGGGAGCAAATTTATATTTACGTCATTTAAAGAAACCTTACTCGTTACTTCTGTGAATACCGTGTTCTCTTTATGTTTTCTCTTGTCATCACTAGGCAAATTAATTTCTGGTAGCTCCAATGGAATTTCAATCGCATTATACATGTTAATTCTATCTATATCTATAATAATGACATTCTTTTCCAGTATATTATCACTATTCAGTGCATTTAAGTATGTAAAACTAGGAATGTACCCATCATCACTTGCAGAATATGCAAACATGTCATCACTTGATACAGACTGGAAGTCATACCTTACTATGTGTATGATCTTGTGTTTAACAGTCGTATTCTTACTTCTTGTATTTGGTTCTGCTTTCAGTACACTGGGTATTAATCCGTATAGAATATTTATTACAGGCACAGGTTCTACATCTATGCTTAAAACTATCTCATCCAAAGTATATCTTATAATTGGATATTCTATCTTAATGTTACTATTTGTAATAATACCTAGTATATTTGAGATAGTTAAAAGCAGGCCTGGATTAGCAAAAGATTTAGTTATCAATAAGGTTTTACTGAAATAATCTAAATTGAAATTAAATATTTAATTTACATAACCCGTTTATTATATTTTCTGGCATTTCTGGCATTTCTGGTGTTTTCTGGTGTTTTCTGGTATTTGAATATTTCTATTATATTCATTTTTATTTTTGTATTTTATTCTTGTGTACGCATATAAATTTACTCATTTATATACTGCACAGCAGTAAAATAGGCTAATTTATATTGAAAGACGCATTCTGTCTAAATATACGTATAATACATACAATACAACATAATTTATACAGTACAAAATAAACACAATATAGTATGCGCATATAACCCCAAAATCCCTATATTTAATAAACACAAGGATATCCCTACATAAATAATGAATATTCCTGGATAGTGCAAGAATTCTTTGAAATAAAATATTTCTGTCTTTTGTTTTTTATGGACGAAAAGTCACCAGAGATGCACTCTGCGACAAAAACCAATCCAAACACTAAAACAATAAAAGGTCCACAGGGCACCAAGCCACCAGAGAGCTTCATTCTTACCAATACTGTACTGAACACGTACGTGTATGAGTATCTTAAGCCACCAACAGATGACACGTATAATATGCTTGAGGCAATCAGTGAACCACTAACAGAAGAAATAAAGCACAAAAAATTAAAAACAACAAAAAAGAACAAAACAGTCTTAAACAATCTAATAGGATCACTTATTGACACAGTAGACTTATCCACAATAGAAGTAACAGATGAAGAGAAAAGGAGCAGAAGGATAAACAACAAATTTGAACATCCACAGAGTATAAATGACGGTCTAACAACTATTTTAAGCAGTATACTAGAAGAATCACCAACAAAAAACAATGAAGAAACCGTTAATTATTTTGAAATATTAAAAAAAGTAGAAGAAATGAACAGAACAAATAAAAGCAAAATACTGAATAACAGGTCAGTTTATTTAAGTCATATGTTCTATCAGTCTTTATTAGACAAGATAGACAGCAACATTGAGAATTTATTTAAAAAATTAAAAAAGAAGAAGAAGAAGGAGGATGACACGAATTATTGTCAGGAGCTAGAAGATCTTTTAGAAAAAAGAAACAATTTCAAAGAGATATGCCAAGAGATTCCAAAAGATTTAGATGAGATAAGAGAACCAACAGATGTGGGAATAGAAAGCATAGAGGATATTTTAGATGAAAAGGATCTAGAAACCATAAAGGACTTACTACCAAGTAAATATTTAGAATCCTGGATAAATTAAATGTATAACATTGCATAGCACCTTGTGTATAATGCTTAATTATAAGAATAATTCTAGTTATCTCAGCATTATTGCCACAGTATATTATAAATAAAACAACAAATTACGTATTACACATAGATTACTTAGTTTTAGTCATAGAGACAAATAATTTTTATTTTTGATACCCTAGAACTTATCATAATTGAATAAAAGAAGAAATGCTCAGAGAACAAAAATATCATAAATGAATAACCCGATATAACCCGAAATTCAAAAAATAATTTTGAATATTTCTGTGTGTATAGTAAATTTAATACGCATGGATTAATTAGAATATTGATCTAGAATGTTCTATTTAGGGTTAATTCGGATTATGTTTAAGAACAATTTGGATAATTATCTAGTAAGATCTAATTAATACTGTGTCTAATAACATGCACAGAATAGCATACATATACAGTAACATAAGGTATTTTGTTATTTGTGTATTATTTAATAGCAAAATACCTTATTTACTTACTAATTCTATTGTTCTATGTTAATTGTGTGCTTCTTCTATTTACTTGTATTTCGAATGATTTAGACCGGTTCTATAGACATCTAAGCTTTAAGTACTGAAATTTGCAGAATTTTTATTTATGCCAGATCCATTATGTAAAGACATACAGAAAGTAGATCACTCGAATGAGACTCTTAAGAAGATTCGGAGATACAGGATGACTGAAGACTTTTCACAGTTAGTTGGCATGGATATTCCACTGGAAATTGAAAAGATTAGGCAGGGACTAACACATGGCTCGACTGACTCATTTTTAGAGCTAGCAGAGTATATGTGGATGGAGCTAGTTAGGGATAATTCTCTTCTTAGAACACCTTTTCGCACTTTCATAGAAAAAAACAAGCTTATCCGGCTAATTCCACCCACGCCACTAATCCCAATAATATTCCTTTTTTCAGGGGAGGAAGTGCTTAAGGAGTGGTGTATTATAAATATATGTGAGTTATACACCACTCCAAATTATTTGACTGGGATGGTCACTGGGGGAACCTTCTTTTACAAAATACATGAAGAAATACTGCAGGATATGTCTAAGTACAAGGAAAGGAACTTTTTAAAGTCATTGTTTATTTTTGTTGTTCTGGGCGGGGCACTTGTACATCCGCACTATGCCCTGCTTGAAGCAAAAATTAATAATAATCTCTCTGATGATATTTCCATAAAATTCAACATATATAAGGTTCTAACGGCTGGGGAAGTAACGATAACTGGAGAAGTAAAAAGAAAAAACAAATTGTGCTTGCATTTAATCAGCAGGGTTCTTCAGGAGCTAACAAGGATGCCGCTGGACCAGTTTTTAGCCAAAAACAGGCAGGAAACATCTGAGATAAGGTTGATTCTTCTTTTTACTACATGGGAGATGCTTGAGCTGAGCATTAAGCTGGATATACCAAAGGAGTTAAAGCTGTTAATATTAAGAAGCGGGCACGGTTCAAGGAATCGAACAATCAGGAAGAGAATATATACGTCTGTTGTTAGGATGCATGCGGGGAGTGGAATTTCTCTTTTAGAATTGTTTAAAAATGGTTTATTAGAGTACATACTAGCACGGACTGAGTATGAAATAGGGCGTGTATATACAGATCAGTACAAGAGTATGATTAGGTCTTTGGTGATAGATACAGTAGATCTTATAAACACATACAAATTAAAAACACTAAATATCAGCACAGAAGAGACAGAGAGCTTGAAAAGACCAGAATACAAGAATTTAACTATGGCGGAGATAGAAGATATTTTATTATGTAGTTGTTCTTTATGGAGGGATCGGCTTTCTATTTATTCGGACTGTGCTATTTCTGCATTTATTTCTTTGTTCTTCTTTAGGGTGACCACAAAACCATTCAAGAATTATAGTTCTAAAACAGCTGCTGTTGTATCCGTTTTGCAAGATTTAAGCGCAGTAGTTAGCACCCGGCTAGATAAACTAGACAAATCAATGCTAAAGGAAAAGGACCGGGTTATTATGGACTCTTTGCTTAATAAAAAGTACTCAGACCAAACAGAGCCAGCAAAGATCGAAATTCTTCTGGAGCTAATTAAAGAGTGTAGTCATTTCTATGCATGCACTGGGATAATGCCAGGTGGGATAACAGGTCTCTGCGGTGTGATTGAGAAATACATTAACAATTACATTGTAACGAGAGTGGATAGAGAAAGCCCCATAAACACATTTGATTCTGATAGAGGAGATGCACTATCACATGAAAATATATCAGAGGAGTGTGATCTTCTTCGCATGCTTTATGAGCTAGTGCAGATGCCCATTACAGATAGTGTTCTTTCACAGATAAACTATATTGTACTGCATCTGGATAAAATTGCTAGTGACACGATAGAAATTGACTTTACGTGGATATGTAAGCTAGACTTGAGAATGGCATCAAAGACCAACCTTAAAATGACTTTTTTAAAAAATTTGTTTGATAAGTATTTAATACTTGCGCATGACAGCAAGACCATGATAAAATCCGTTGTAAATGATTTCCAGAGAATTAAAAAAGAAAATAACCTGAAAGACGATGAGGCTATGAAAAGACTAATTAAAAGGGCCGAGAAAATATTAGAAAAAAAGAAAGAGCAGGTTGTAGAGCATACTACAAAAGATATCCCAGCAATCCCCCAAACACAGGACATTATAACGTGGCAGAAGCCACTTCAGGAGGTTAGAGAAAAAACACAAACAAACAAAGAATTTATTCTTGCTCTTCTAAGGAATGAACCGCCGATAGAGTACCAATCAGTTAAGTCAACGTACAGCACCTTCTTAGACTACTTTTCAACATACTCTCCCCTAATAATTAAAGAAGCCCTTGCATCAATTGAATCTAGCATTACTGTGGAGTCTGTTTCTAAAAAGCCAATAGATGGTATTGTGATGGGAAAACATGATGACACCAGAACAACTACACTTGCAATCCTTACTCGGCACAAACAGTCTCTTCTGATAAATGATATTGTTAGAGTAGTAAATCTTAACAATACAGATGAAAATAACTACAGCACAGGCATAGTCATGTATGAAAAGGAGGGCCAGTATGAGATAATGGTGTGCATGAAGTCTCTTGAAAAGCAGGGCCGATGTCATAAGGTTAGCATACAGCTTCTAGCAAACATTACATCTACTATGCGAGAATATGATGCTTTAATTAGATTGCAGAAGCTGGCCATTAGAAGTAGTATACTTGATCCTTGTAAATTCTACAAAAAAGATGGGTCTGTAACAGGCATGCCCAAAGGTGTACATGCGTATAATGAAAAGTCCCATCCAGACTCTATTCTAAATATGCCCGGGTTTAAAACGTCGGAGATAAACGAATGCCCACTCATCAGTGCATTTTATTCACAGCTCAATAAAAGCCAGCAGGCAGCTGTGTATAATGCATTATTGCCCAAAAATAGCATAAGCTTAATACAAGGGCCGCCAGGTACAGGAAAGACCAAGACAATATCAGGCATGATTGCATGTTTCCTTCTGCAAAAGCGCAGAGTTTTAGTATGTGCACCCAGCAATGCAGCTGTTGACATGCTTATAGAAAGCGGCAGTATTTGGAAACGAATCCCTGATTGCAGATGGATTCGCATAGGCAGTGCAGGCGGTAGTAGAACAGCAGTAGAGAGAGATGGCATGCCCCTTCCTAAAGAAGAAAAAGAGGATATTTTATCCAGTCCATCATTAGTCCAGGACATCAGCGTGCAAAACACCCCAACCCAGCATGCAATAGACCCAAAAGATATTTCAATTTTTGGAAGCATCGGCGCATATGATAGAAGGTGTGAGAATTTAGGAGACTATACGCGGCAGGACAGCAAGAGTGAACTAAGCCGTGCTAATCTGGTTTTCTGCACTCTATCCATGGCAGGGTCTTCTTCTCTTAGAGAATACTTCTTTGATATTTTAATAATTGATGAAGCATGCCAGGCCACAGAGCCAAGTACACTGATACCTTTAAGGGCATTGCCAAGCAAGCTTATTCTAGTAGGAGACCCAATGCAATTGCCACCAACAATCATTTCACAAGAAAAAGAACTAACTCTAACTCTTTTTGAACGACTTTCTTCTTCAATCCCTCCACTTCTCCTAGATACGCAGTACAGAATGAATTCTATGATTTCTAAATTTGCAAGCCAGCAATTCTACAACGACAAATTAAAAAATGGTGTTATAGTGAACTCACTCCTCCCATTCGCATTCATAGATGCAGAAGGAGTGGAGAAGACAGATGACAAAGATATCTACAATAAAAAAGAGATCACCACAATTCTGCAGTTCTATGGAGCAGCAGTAAAGGCATACGGCACAGTAGGAATAATCAGTCCGTACAAGGGGCAGGTCTCCAGACTTAAAAAGTACATTAGAGACATAGACATAGCAACAGTAGACGGATTCCAGGGACAGGAAAAGGATTGCATAATTATATCAACAGTGCGTAGTAAAAGGATAGGATTTCTTAGTGATATTCGTCGAATGAATGTGGCACTAACCCGTGCCAGATACACTTTAATAATAGTAGGCAGTATGCGTTTATTACAACAAGATCCAACATGGCAGCCGCTTATTAAATATGTTAATGAGAACAACTTTGTATACAAAGTAGGAGAAGTGCTAAGCATTCTTACGTCTATAAAAGACCAAAGAGATGCATCGTCACACAGTAAATAAATAACATTTTATACTTCTATTTCTTCTTACTCTTTGCGGTTTAACTCATTTAAAACAGCCAGCTCTAATTGGATTATTTCTTTTGTGATATCAACTGTGCTGTCTTTTATTTTGTCCTCAATTGCCCACATAAGCTCTTCAAAGCAGTTTTTCATTATAAAATTATTTGCAAATTAGATAATAATTAATAGACATTTTCGGGTGCATTTCTGGTTATAAAGAACAAAACACAAAATCTAGCTATAAATAAAATTTAATACAACGCAGTATTCCGGGGTATACTTCTTTTTAATGGCTAGTATTCAAATATACACTGAAATATTAATTAAATACAATATTTATAGCAAGTATATAAAAAATTAGTAAAAGTGAGAATTCTTCTGAATATATAAAGTATGTCATGAATTAACTATGTGATAGATCGTGAGTAGTGCATAAATTTAATATTTTATAGTATTTTATGTTATGTTCATTATAATAGGTATAAACAGACTAATTCTAGTTATAAGTATATTTTATGTAATAGTTAATGTGGATACAGTAAATGTACTGCAGTGATATTATTATATCAGTGTATTAAGTATATTTATACTTGTATATTGCTTAGCACGTATATTTTTATTAAATCTTGGATTATTTCCATGGAATTTCTGCAGTGTATTTAGTTTTATAATAGCAAAACAAATATTTTCAGAATGAATAATTATGAAGTGTTCAGTGAGCACGTGAGAGCACTAAATGACTCATGCATACCACCCACCACTACTTACAGAACTGTATCTAGTGTGAATGGTCCGCTAGTTATTATGGATAATGTGAAGTCACCCAAATATTCAGAAATAGTTCATTTAACCCTTCCGGACGGAAGCAGGAGGACTGGGCAGGTTTTAGAAGTATGCGGGAAGAAGGCAATTATTCAAGTGTTTGAGGGGACATCAGGGATAGACACGAAGCATACGTGTGCAGAGTTTACGGGAGAAACAATGAAAATGGCAGTGTCAGAGGATTTACTGGGAAGAACTTTTAACAGCATAGGAGTACCAATTGATGGAGGGCCAAAAATAGTGGCAGAGGATTATTTAGACATTCAAGGGCAGCCGATCAATCCGTATGCCAGAATATATCCAGAAGAAATGGTTCAAACTGGAATATCCGCCATTGATGTGATGAACTCTGTGGCGCGTGGCCAGAAGATACCTATTTTCAGTGGAGCTGGTCTTCCTCATAATGAAGTAGCTGCGCAGATATGCAGGCAGGCAGGGCTTGTTAATAACAAGAGCACGGTTGACAAGAGCAAAGACAACTTTTCAATTGTATTTGCTGCAATGGGGGTTAACGCAGAGACTGCACAGTTCTTTAGGAATGAGTTTGAGCAGAGTGGTGTATTAGATAGAACTATTCTTTATCTTAACTTGGCAAACGATCCAACGATTGAAAGAATAATTACGCCACGATTTGCACTTACTGCAGCAGAGTATCTTGCGTACACAACAGGTAAGCACGTCCTAATGATTATGACAGACATGAGTTCGTATGCAGATGCATTAAGAGAAGTCAGTGCAGCGAGAGAAGAAGTTCCCGGACGAAGAGGGTACCCTGGGTACATGTACACCGATCTATCAACAATATATGAAAGAGCTGGTCGTATTGCCGGTATAGATGGATCTATTACACAAATACCCATTCTTACTATGCCAAATGATGATATAACCCATCCCATACCAGACTTAACAGGATATATTACAGAGGGGCAAATATACATCGATAGAAGTCTTCACAACAGACAGATATATCCTCCAATAAATGTCTTGCCGTCTTTATCCAGACTTATGAAGTCAGCAATTGGCGAGAACATGACGCGGGATGACCACTCTGATGTATCCAGTCAGCTGTACTCTAAATACGCGGTTGGTAAAGAAGCACTTGCTATGAAATCTGTTGTGGGTGAGGAGTCTTTATCAACAGAGGATAAGCTAGTGATTGAGTTTGTAGAAAACTTTGAAAAGGAGTTTATCAGCCAAAGAAAGGATGAAAACAGAACCATCTCCGAATCTCTTGATTTGGCATGGAGGCTGCTTAGAATATTCCCAAAGGAATTACTGAACAGAATCCCAGATAATATACTTAACAAGTACTACACCATAAAGACCACTGAAGAAGACAATAGTCACGTCTCAAATGAAGAAAAGAAAGAATAAGACAATTGACCGGCTAAATACCAAATAGACCGGAACCTAAATAAATTATTCAAGTGTTTAGGTCTATCTGTACTAGTTGTTTCAGTTATTTTACAATTTTTATTTCAGACATTTTCTAATGTGTTCATTTTTTATTTTTGTATTTTATTCTTGTGTACGCATATAAATTTACTCATTTATATACTGCACAGCAGTAAAATAGGCTAATTTATATTGAGAGACGCATTCTGTCTAAATATACGTATAATACATACAATACACTTATTTACACATACAATGTAAATATTCATATACAGTGTAACAGAGTATAATAAACAAATGAATACTCTTTTTATAATTCTGAATATGTTGGTGTACAGCACAGTCATTTCCTTTTCATACAGCAAGATAATATACTGATTTTTATTCCTATTAATTATAGATTTATTAAGCGATGAGTAGTTTTACTGTTTGGCATCTGTGTATACCAGAAATATTTTACTGGTACTTAGTCTGGGCATTCATATTCAGTTCTACTATGCCAGCCCCCTTTGGCATGAGGTATATGAGAAAATCAAAGACATCAGAGGATTTAGCTGCTGAGCAAATGTCTCCCTTTTGAAGAATTCTTCTTTTCCCTTGTTCTGTGTACTGCCATGCCCGGAGTGTTAATTCCTCAATAAATATTTCTGTTAGTCTGGAGAACAGTGGAGGAACTTCATTTGCCACCTTACTAACTTCTTGTTCAACTTTCATGAGTCTTTTTATACGTGCCAGTGGAAGTGCATTATCTTTGCTAATCACTGATGTAGTGACATAATCTAAAATACCTTTCCAATATTCATCTACTGTAGGATTCTTTCTTTGCATTTGCATGTTTATTAGATAGAAGAATGTTTTATTCCTTTCATATTTATTTATTATAGTCACCTGATGAAACACATTCTAATACACTGTAACACTACGTCACAGTTACAATTGAAGTCTATTAAAATTTCAGGATATTCAAAGAACGCAGTGATTATTGTATAATACTGTATTATTATCATATGAATGTATGTTTTTATTGATTATATGCATAAATAGCCGTTAAAATATACCAAAATAGAAAAATACATAAACCATTTAGAGTACATTGTATCTATACACAAAACTTTCTATTAATAATCCAGTAAGTTTTGGTTAATATGGTAAAAAGTCTTGCATGATTACTTGCGTAATAAATAGTACACAATGTGTAAATAATATTTTTTTATACATAATGTTTACTATATTATGTTATAGAATAATAAGTAATGCACGTGCTTATAATTAGCTATTTTATTAAATATGTGCAATCTGCTCATTAAATAGAAACCCAGATATTTTAGGTTATTTGATACTTAATTTCACTATTACTCTAAACTTGATCTGATTCATTGGTGTTTTAGAATTTCTGAGTCTACATAATCCATACACACATATAATTGAAATCTCTGGTTATGTACATGACATATGGAACATATACTCATATAGTAAACTAGTATACCTACTGTATAATATTCTTATCAGAGTACTCTTTAATTGTACATGAATAGTTCAAATAATCTTAAATATTTATGTTTTGATACACAGCCTATATATTGAATATTATTATCTATACCATGCAAGGCCTCTAAAAAATTATTAAACTTTCCTTTAACTAGTACAGGATAAAAAAGCACATTACATAATTATTTTATAATCCTTTTTTATTCTTATACTAGTATTCTTATACCATTATTAGGCATAATATATATAAGTAGAGGGTATTTTATAGATTTAACTGGGGTTCAGTACAGATATTTCTCTTTCTAGCTGATAAAGTACCCTAAAAATAAATGAGAGATACACTTAATTAGTGATATACTCATTAGAGTTAAACTATTTATTATTACTCTGACGTATATTTCATTCTTAATTACTTATTTCTTTATAATATAGTAAGTCTCTGGTTTACATGCTGGTTATATTAGTGTGCTATATACTGTATATTTTTAGCTGTACATACTCTATTTCTGTAGGATTTATATGGTATTTCAATATTATTGTTAAGTACTGTTATGCAACTAACTAGAATATATTTTATTTAGACGATTTAACTTATTAAGATATTTCATATACACAATCTATTTATTTTCACTTACTGTGGTTGATTTGGTTATACACATCTATACCCAAGAGTATATTACTTCGTACTACGCTCTTTCTTTCGAAGTGTTTTAGTTCTTTTTTATACACATTTTAATTAGCATAGACTCTGCCCAGATGTTCACATATCAAAAGGAGTTCACGAAACCCTTTCCATATGTCACCTTCTCCGGTACACCAAGTATCTACAAAACACTCAGGATACATACCACTGCGACGCATGAATTCAAACTCTATTTCTTCAAAAGGTGGTTTGCTCCAGACTGTAGTCTGTCCTATAAACATATAGCACCATTCAGTATAAGAAAGAATTTACATATACTTCTGGCAATTTTTAACACACGGTATGCCAGCTAGTAAGGATGCTCTTTCTGATTCAACTAACCTTAGTATTAGTTACCAGCACTTATTTCAATTCTCTTGAGTCCAGCTTTTCGAATCTAGTTCAATCATAAATCTATATAAATGCATCAAAATCCGCTTCTCTGCTGATTTTGCAGGGCGTGTAACCAGTTCATTATATAACATATCCAGACGAACCACTATAGGAAATTTATTCTATACAGAATTATAACTACATGACATTTCTTCAAATTGTTTTTGTAAACGCTTTTTTCCTTCAGTGAATTTAAAATACTGAAATTTCCTTTTAATATGATACACGTGGTTAGCATTAAAATTCATGCTCTGTGTGTGTATATTCTTATCTGCTATAAATAAGTTCTTTTATTTTTTAAGTATTGAAATTATTATACTTTTATTTACAGTCCATAGCACAAATAAAGTGACTGTTTCTGGTTATATCAAAACAGATCGTTTATGGCCTTATTAATAGGTAATATAAGGTATACATAATATTTGTTTTTAATAAATCATGACTAGTTCAGATATTTTAATACTATTATAAGTATATATATTGTATAAACAACCTAAAATACAGAATATATCATAATAAATACAAAAATACAACTATACCTGTAATTCAATATATGGTAATAAAATACTATATATACACTCCAGTATAACGGATTGTTCTTAATACTGAAATTTCTATTTTTGTATTTTTTTCTTTTTGGCACTTCAGAAATTATTTAAGTTTTAAATTTTTATCCCCCTGCCTTTAAAGCTCTTAAGAAAAGTTAAACTGCTGAGGATGATAGAACAAAAAGATTTATGCGTATTAACAACATTATTACTACACAGCGTAGGAACAACAGTAACAGAAGAAAACATTAAGAAAGTAGCAGACCATTTGGGAGTAACAGTTGACTCCTACTTGGCAGAACTATTCAGCAAATTATCAGCTGAACAGATTCAGTCTATTATTGAGAACCCAACTGGAGGATCAGTACAGGCAGCTGCAGCAACATCTACCCAGGCAGTAGAAGAAAAGAAGGAAGAGAAAGAAGAATCTGAAGAAGAGAGTTCAGGAGACATGGACTTATTCGGTTAGATAATAAATTATAATCTGATTTGCTATTTACTATATTATTATTACATTGTATTTATTCTTGTGCTATAAGGCTTTCTATGTCAGGCTATTAAACATTTATTGCTTCTATGGATATAACCCGAATATTTTGCAAATAATTTTCATTAGCAATGGATGAGATTAAGAGAATACTCAAACAAAAAGAAGACAGCTATAAAGTACTGAATGTTTCAGCGGGCAGTTCAAAGGAAGAAATAAGAAAGAGCTACAAAAAATTAGCAATAAAGATACACCCTGATAGAAACTCCCACCCGAATGCGTCTGAAGCATTTATTGTACTGCAGAATGCGTATGAAGACCTAACAGAAGGAAAGCCAAAGTATACGCAAGCACATGAGTATAGAAGAGGGCACAGGACAGATAATACATTTACGCAGGAGGATTTAGACCACATTATGAAGTGGTATACAGCCATGAGTGGTGCGAATTATACGTTTTCTTATGGGTCATTTAATTACGGGCCGAGTGCTTTTCAGCAGACATTTTATAGAAGAAGGCAGTCTCCTCAGATAGAAATATCAAATAGAATAGCAGTTGTTTTGCTAGTTTTATTGTTTGTATACAGTCTTTTAAGATAGGGATAATTATACTTATTTATACTCATATGTTTTTTTAATATTTATGAGTGTATATGTAATAATAAGTAGTATTATTTACACATAGTAGAATATAATATAGACTAAAATAATAATAAGTATGTTTAGTATAATAAAAGAGAGTATAGAGAGTGCTGTACAACTTATTAATTAGATACTCAATTACAATAAAGAATAATTACTTATTAAAGAATTTAGGGCATAATCAGAGCAGTACTGCAAGGATATTTTAGCATATTCATTATTTATAATACAATATGCAAAAAGAAATAGTTATTTATACACAATGTATTATAAATACGGTTAAAAATTTAAATAAGACACAATAATAATTAGAATAAAAACAAGAACGTGCAAGTGATTTATACAATTACAGAGATATACATAAGAGATGGTGCGGGTTTTAGTGATTTCTATCTAATTGAATATTAAGGATAGAATATACAAGACATTTCAAAATATAAATTTGCAATTTTCTTTTTTAATAAAATGAACATTCAAGAGACACAGAAAGAGAAAAAAGAAGGACAGATTGGTAAACAGAACACTATTTATGTTGGAGACATTCCAATGGCCACAACAGAATCAGAATTATTCCAGATATTCTCAAAAGTAGGACAGATATACACCATAAGCATTCTTAGAAAGGAAGTATCAATAGTGAAGGACAAATGCTATGCATATGTAACATTCTTTGATGAGTCATCAGTTCCCATAGCAATAGAGACATTTAATTTCTACAGTTTACACGGATCGCAGATAAGAGTGATGCCATTTAATAAGGAGAGTGTAGTGGGCAACAGAGAGGGGAATATAGTGATAAAAAATTTGCCAAAGGAAACTGACAATCAGACGTTATATGATACATTTATTGTCTTTGGTCCTATTCTTAGCTGTAAAGTAGTAAAAAACAATTTATCTGAGTGCACTGGTGTTGGGTACATCCAGTACAAGGATCCAAAGGTTGCAGAGGTGGCCATCCAGATGATCAACAAGATAGTACTTAATGGGAAGAAACTGTGTGCCACGCAGTGCATACCCAATGATAAAAGAGAAAAGAAGCGGGAGAACGTGGCCAAAATATTTACGAATATTTATGTTAAGAACTTCCCTGCTGGAATAACAGAGGAAGAGATTGAGGCAAAGCTGAAGGAGTATGGAGAGCTTACTTCCTTCCTAGCACCGCGCACAGATTCTGGCGAGATGCGGGGGTTTGCGTTTGCCAACTACCAGACGCACGAAATGGCAGCTGCCGCAATTGAAGCACTCCACGACAAGCCATTCCCAGGGTACCCCGAAGGAACTGAGAATTTGTACGTGCAGAGGGCCAAGTTGAAGAATGAGAGAGTAGAGGAGATGTTAGAGTACTTCTCACAGGTACCAGAGCACGAGCGCAGAAGAAATATTTACATTACAAATCTGCCAGGAGAGTTGAATGAAGAAGATGTGGTAAAATACTTCAGTAAGTACGGGCCAATAGTTACGTATAAGCTAGGAACAGACGCAAAGAACAACAGATCGTACGGGTACGTATTCTACCAGAAAGCAGAAGATGCAGCCAAGGCAGTAGAACTGGCAAACAAGAGCGAATACTGCGAGCAGACACTGGATGTGGCATTCTTTAAGTGCAAAAAGCTGAGAGAGCTAGGCAAACCAACATACAATATTTATAACACGGCAGCAGGAAACGGTGCATACGATCCTGCGAATGGAAAGGGAAAGAAAAAAGCACATGTATCACCTGCAGCACAGGATAATGGCTGCACTGCAGGATACCAGCTATACACGCTCATCCTGTCTCTGGCACCAAACTACACAGAAAAGATATCCCAGGCAGGTTTTGCTAATGAAGAGGAATTTGCAAAAAAGATCACTGGAATGATTCTGGAGTTAGATGCAGAGGAAGTCAAGAGAGCGGCTGTTTTGGGCAATGTTTTATCTAATTATGTGGAAGAGTCTTTAGAGGAGATTATTAGGGATCAGAAAAGGGAAGAGCCCGCAGAGGACAAAGCAGTAGCCATAGAATAAATAAATCACTACATAATTTACTAACTTAAAAATGGAGAATCCAAGGATTGAACTCGGGACCTTGTACATGCGAAGCACACGCTCTACCACTGAGCTAATTCCCCTATAACCAGAATAATTCATAAGTCATAGTAATGTTAGAATTTCCAATATACTATATGCAGTACTAGTATAAAGGGGCATTTACATGCTTATACCATACATGCATGCAACATGTATTGTGGTGGGTCAGTGCTAATCAGCAGTAAAAGAAATAAACCAAATGAACTGTTATAACTCGGAAATACTTCAATATTTATTATTGCATTATAAGTCGTATATTCCATCATCTGAATTATTATTAGTGAACTTATCTGTGTCTTCACTCTTTGGAATCTCTCTTAGATTATCCTGCGGTATCGGCGCTTCTATAGTCTCTGTATCTACATGCACTGGTTCTGCCAGCACAGGCGGTAATATTGGCTGGTCTAAAAACTCTGCGAATGTGAACAGGACTAATGAGTGCATCGTATTAGGAAGCCACACTAATTGTGCAAGCAGTGATAATGAGTGTGGTATTACATTTGGTACATTCATTTGCAATAAATAGCACCTGTTACACTCCTTCTCCTCACAGTATTTATTATACAGTGGTTGTGTAAGCGACGTAAGCAGTTTCTTTGCAAGCGGCAGCACACTCTCCTCAATATCATTGAAAATAGAGTGAATCACTGAAGGAGTATTTCTGATTTTAGTATACGCCAGGAACAGCCAGAACCCAATAAGAATGCGAATGTCTTCTATTAATAAGTCATTCTGAAGGTGTTCTCGCAGGGTTAGCAATACATCCGGTGAGAATAATTTCTGTGACCCACTTCTAAGACCTATGCATATGGCAGTTTTAATTACCAAGAGTGAGTCTGTGAGTGAAATTGTTGGAAGATGCGGCAGTACATTAAGTAATTCATTCACTGCCTCATCATCAATAACTATTGAATAATTTGAAATTATTCCGAAATATTCTGGTGTACCTATCCTTACTGCAGCAATATTCTTTGGTATTTTCTGTGATAAATTTGAATGAATTCCTAGAATGAAGTTCAACCTGCACGGACAGAAGCGTGCATTTGAATTTTTATTATAATCCACTTCAGAAAAAAAACTCCATTTTTCAGCTGATCCTTCAGTGAATGACAGAAGGTAAAGTGCTGCCATATCCCGTCCAGAAAATATTATTTCAGAGAACTCAGACAAATACTTTGTGTACTTTGGATAGGAAGAGAATGCATAGAGAATCTTTAAGGCATGCTCTGGATGAGTTTTCATAGTAAATTCCATCCACTCTTTCCACCGCATTTCAAAGAAATAGTTCACAATTGATACGTCTCTGTTCATTAATTCCGCAAGTGATTTAATCCCACATCTAGCAAGTGTTCTATTCTTACCACATCCGAATTTCATTAAGCCATCAATGAACCCATTAAAAATAAGCAATTTTCTGAATGTAATGGAATCCTTGCCTATTTCTACTAAAACATTCAGTACAATCTCATTTCCCATAAGAGATTTCTCTATTAACTGTCCAATTTGGTTTAATTCTATTATTCCTTTGGTTATTGCTGGTTTATTATATTTAATCAGGATAAAAACAGTATTTCTTATGTCTTCTACTTCTTCTGATATACTTCCTGTAATTAGTCTAAGTATAAATTCAATTCTTACTTTACTTAGGAATATATTCGAGAATTCTCTCCCATTCTGTTCTGTGAATATCTTAATAAGAATCTTAAATATACTCTGTACTTCAGGCGGGTACGCCTCTGTGTTACATATAAGGAGGGATATTAATGGATCTATAAATTCAGTTCCTCCTATTAAACTATCTTCATTAACTATATCCAGTGCTTCTTTTAATGCCGCCTGTCTATCTTTTGTATATGTAGCTGTTTTAAGCTGAACTGCCGCTATTACAGCTCTTTCCTGTAAATCCATAAAAATACATAAAAACAACACATAAAAGAATAAAAACACACGAAATATGACATTAATCCAATCAGAGACAGAATAAATACTTAAATACATCTGTAAGTACATGAATCAGTATATTTAAAACATAAACATAAAATACGTTATATAAACAACAATATATCCAAAAATGCCATGTTTTATTGTATATTTATGATTATTCTTAAGTAAATAGTACATGTAACCCATTAAAACAGCTATTTTATTCTATTTAAAGGTATCTCTTTAATTATAACCCTAGATTGTATTCAATATTTACTGTTTTATTGTGTATAAGGATATCTCTGATTATAATTAAATATAATTATAAATTATAACTTGTTCATATTTTCTTAATACATGAAGGGGTTTTTATATTTAAAATAATAAAAATAGAAATTTATTTATTCCCATCTAACCATTCAGTTGCAGACTGCCCTGCCACCATTCCTGAGTATGCAGCAGTTATAGCCTGCCTGTACTTATTATCTTGTACATCACCTGCTGCGTAGAGTCCTTCTATTTCTGTTTGCATAGAATTCTTATTTGTTAATACGTAATTATCATTTGCTAATATTCTCTTTCCTGTTTCTTGTTCTAGTGACTTTAAAAAAGACGTGGATGGATCATGCCCTATTGCAAAGAACAGTCCGTCTGTCGCCACTTCTGTGATTTCTTCTGTCTTTACATTTTTTATTACAACCGAACTTAAAGAAGTATTATCCCCCTTTGCTTCTACAAGGACACTCCATGTAATTATTTCTACATTTAGCAGATTTCTTATTTTACTTAAAAGATCCGGTCGAGCACGGAATGTTTCTGATCTGTGCACTAAAATCACTTTACTTGCGATTTGTGAGAGGTACTGAACTTCTTCCATTGCTGTATCACCACCACCAATCACCACAACCACTCTGCCAGAAAATGCCCACCCATCACAGGTGGCACATGCACTGATTCCACTCTGCCAGTACTTATCAACACCAGGTGCATTTAGCTTTTTAGCAACAGATCCTGTCGCAATAATAACTGCTTTACTTCTGAATATTCCTTCTTTTGTTGACAAAACAAAGTATCCCTCATCCTGTGAAATAGAATTAACCCATAATTCCCGAATACGGGCATATTCCTGTGCGTGTTTATTAAATAAACTAGCCAAGTCCGGCCCGGCTATGCCAGATGGAAACCCTGGGTAATTATCTACATCTGTTGTTGTAGTAAGCTGCCCCCCTGGGAATTGTGTAGAACTAGTGTAATCCCCTGCCAGAATCAATGGTTTATATTTAGAAGCATAAATAGATGCAGAGTATGCAGCTGGTCCACTCCCTATAATTATCACAGATTCTGTGTTAACACTTATACTCATACTAGGCCGAAAAAAAACTAAAACAAGAAAACAGCAGCGAATGACAGATGCACCACATAACATACAAACAACAATCATAAAAAGGAATATATTATATGATAATACAAAAAACAAACAAACCATACAATATGATGAATATTCCTGTGATATTTGTCTGTGTAATGGCGTAGACCAATCGATTCGCACTGCATTTAAAGTAAATTATTGCAAAGAGTGCAAAACACAGCTTGAATTAATAACACAATCCACTGCAATAAATGACTATTTATTAAGCAAAGAAGACGTAAAAGGTCTAAATCACATGAAAGTATCAAATCCACGGAATGAAGACTGGAAACCAATGATTCTCTACAGAAAATCTGAAGTAGAAGAAATTTCCAAGAGGAAGTATCCGAGCATAGAAGAGGAGAAGGCCCTTCGCAGGGAAAAACTCAAAAAAAGAAAAGAGAAATCGCTTAAGAAGAAACTTTCTTTACTTAGACAAACCACAAAATTAAGACTAAAACAAGAAACCACGCACTCACATGAATTCTCAGAAGAAGGAATGTGCACGTGTGGTATGAAAATAGAAATTGAAGAAATATAATGTAAACAGTACTTTATGGAAAATTACCAATAAGTTTTATTTATTTTAACTCTATGTGTAATATGTAATATATTCTGTATACTATACAAAATATTTTACACAATGTGTTATTAATTATAATTACTTTATACACAATATACAATTAGTAATAAATTGACAGTTTACACATTTGCTTATTCACAAGAATTAAGAGGTATTTAGCAGAATCCATTACAATCACTTTATTGGTACGCTTATTTGCCACTGTAACAAGCGGATTGTACAGTATTTATAGGCCAGTATCTAGGAGAAAATAATGGGAAGAAGTACTATTAAAAAAGCAATGGATTCAGTCTTGGTAATATTCTTTATAGGAGTAATTCTGTATCTTATATACTATTCTATATATAACATACACATTTTCAAAGGAACAGATAAGGAATTAAAAGAGATTTTCAGTATATTAGTCAAAAATAAAATGAAGCCATTTAATACTGTAATGACAGACAACAGTATATCTCTGTCTAATATTGTAGACTGTTTAAGCCCGAGTGTAAATATTCCCAGGCGGCTAACAGAAAAAATAATCAAAGCATCACTTGATAAAAAAGTGAACCGGTGGTTCTTCTTAGAGAGGATTATAAATTCACAGATTAAAGCCGGGAATGAGTATAAATTAACAATGTTATTAGAGCAGGAAGATCCAACTAAATTCAAGAAATTACTTGATTTATTAATATACACCGTAGATTTAGACATAAACAATGAATTTATAGACAAAATAACTGAATAATCAGTTATTTCCATTAAAATTTTGATAAAAACCGTTATATCCCATAAATTGGTTTAGTAAATAAATGTAAAAATACCATAAAGTATATTATGGGAGTGTACGTATGAAGTAATTCATTATTTATTCTTCTCTGAAAACAACTCCAAGTGCTTTTGCTGTATTAGTAAAAAATGGATCATTAATTGAAATTGTCTCGTTATCGGTTATGTTCATGAGAGAAGAAGAATCATCTAATTTATCTTCAATATAATCAGTCGGTGGAAGGAAATCTACCTCTAAATCAGTATCTATTATATTTATACCAGGCCCTTTTGGTTTTATTTCTGCAACAGTGAATAAAATAGGCTTAAATTCACTTTCTATGTATAAAGATATCGTATCCCCTTCACTTAACACTTGGTAATTTCTTAGTGAATCCTCAAGTGATGCCTTTGGGTTTTCTATTTCCAGAAAGTCTTTGCTCTGCGGTAGTAGTCTAATAAACTCTCCTTTGGGCAGTGATACGTACGTTATTTCAACAGGTGATCCATCCAGTGCTAATTGATCGTATAACCAATTAGGCAGGATAGCTTCATCCGGTTCGTCTATAAATTCCTGTACACCCACGTGCGTGTAGGATATGTTGTCATTCGCTGATATTTTAAATATGTACGGTGTATCTACTTGTTTAGATATTAAAGTAACCAAACATATCTGTGGTAAGAATATCTTACCAGAATGATGCTCTGCTTTATTTTCTGTGTACCTTTTAGGGTTGAGTGTCCACTGCAATTCATTTCTTCTTGAGAAGAGTCTTGAAAACATATTTAACTTGAATATTTTTCTAATTTAATTCTGGTAATGAAAGTGTTTGATATTGTTATAATAGGAAGAAATATCTCTGCAATGACAGCTGCCATCTACGCAGCAATGTCTAAAAGCAACACTTTATACATAAGCCCACCCACAGAGAAGGGTCAAGTAACCGGAGTGAATAAGTATGTTGGGTACTTATCCGGGGACTATGAGAACTTCCGTATGAGCACGTATAAACAACTAAAAAAATTCGACATTCCGGAGAGTGACTTCCCTGTAGAAAGGATAATGGTAGAGGATGAATATTTAAGAATATTTACAGATGAAGAGATCCTAGCAAAAACAGTTATTATATCAACTGATGATGTATTAGAGAAAGTAGAAGGGGACAATAACAGTAAAATGATATTTAAATGTGGTAATTTAATTAACAACCAAACAGAAATGATTGCACTAGCAGGGACTGGGTGCATGGCTGCAATGGATGCACGCACTTTTATTTCAGAACATAAATAATTCAGCACTATTTGAAATTTAATGAAAATAAAGAAGTTCTAGAATGAGTGAATACATTGCATATCCGGTTTATTTATGTTGTATTTTTTAAGGAAGAGTTCTTATTAAACTCAGTGATAAGGTTTTTATGGTGCTTCTTCGGGATTTTTGTGAGTACTTGATGGAATGCGAAGATTCCATTTGACATTTTATAGAAGTTCTCTATAAATTCTATTGGAGCAGAAGGGTCCAGCAAGAATAATTTCAAGAATAATTTGGCTTTATCAAATATTGAATATTGTATGTCTAAGTTTAACTGCAAGGATATTGTACTTTTCAATGGGATTTCAATCGCACTCATAAAGTATAAAATCTGCTGTGCCTGAGAAATATTGAATTTAACATCACAGAGGACTAAGAAAATAGATTCACCAAGCATATCCAGCCACTCCTTAACCAGAAAATCATGTGGTGTAAATGAACATGATGAGATTAATTCTATTTCTACAATTAATTCTGCCAGGAATGGAGTTGTATAATTCTCTAATCTACACTCTTTCAGGGACTTCTTATTCAAAAAGCCCAGCCTCTCTTGCATGGTCACCATATAAGAGGCAAACACTCTCTGTGACAATTCATTAAGTGCATTTAATGTATGCGGAGAATCAATCGATGAGATATTAAATGTTTTCTGTAATTTTAGAAGCATTTCCTTTGTCATTTGATTTATATAATGAATGGTTTCCACTGCAGATATGAAATTCTCTTTTGCTTTTGAGAATGAAGACTTTCTAATAATATTTCCAAGTGTTTTGTCCACTGTTGTAAGGAATGCGTACCCTACACTTGGAAATTTAAAATATGTGAGTTTTGATAGGGACTGTGTAAGTACGCTGTATATATCATATGTACTATTATCCACTGTATTATTAACAAATAGTATTATCTTATCATTCTTTAAACACTTTAATTCATTTTCAATGTAAATATGAATATAAGGTATAAATGCCAAAGAGAGACTATTTGACTCTAATTCTTCATTACATATGGGTAATTCAGTAGAAATATCATCAAGTAATTTAAGGTGGACAGGCGATCTCTCAGATAATTTAAGTCCTTCTAATTCATTATTTGTTTCTGATGAAATTCTCTTCCTACCAGATGTAACAAGGTAAGTAGATTCAAATTCCATGCACTGCTTTAATGCGTCTAAATAATCCGTACATGAAAATTCAGCCCGATCAATCACTCTTATAAGTTTATTCTTTAATATCACAGATAAATCACAAAGAATAACCTTAGAAATATTCCACCAGATAGGAAGGTGGGCTGTTTTTATACCAACTTCATCCTTTATCTTCAGGAGCAGTTTTAAATACTCATTCACCTCCGATAATTTTTCTAATTTTTGTATTTCTTTCGTATGCTTCATCTGTACATTATTTGACATCCAAGTGACAACTGATCTCTGTACATCTGATACGTATTTCTCTGATAAGATCGTTGAGAGTAGTACAGCACTTTTATCTAATCCTTTATCGTTTGTTATACTGTATTTTATATCACTAATCAGGATATTCTTTAACAATAAGATATTCTCCTGGATTAGGTCATATTTTCCTTTATACTTCTCTTCTATTACGTATTTCTCTGAGTATCTGATGACCTCTTCAATTATTTTCAGAGTTTTAATTAATCCTTTATAATCCTTGTACCTGACTTGTTCTCTGAAATTACTCAGTGCTTTTTTATGTTCTTTTGACAATGTCATTTTCTGGACTACTTTCTCCTCTGGGTTATTCATTTTTTCTTCTTTTTCCATGGCTCTTCTCATTATACACCATAAATACTCCGCATGAAACAGTGTCTGAGTGAGTGTGTTTTAATAAGTCCTTTAATATTAGTAAGAATAACCAATGTACATGGTAGTAGAAATGAACATACAATCCCTAAATTACACTCAACGGAGTAGACTATCCATACTTTTTTAGGCCTGTTAATTTTTCTAAGTAATTCATCATATAAAAAGTTCACTATAATACTTTCATTAGAGTGCTCCTTTTTAAACAGTGTTCTTACCCTGTTACATCCTATTATATCACTGTATACCACTAATTCTCTTATTTTTTTAATATTTTCAATATTTAAATTTCTGAATTTCTGTGTTTCTTGTGATATTTCCTGTATATAATCATTATATTCATTCTTTAATTCTGCCATATCCTGAATTATCCTGTATTTGTTATATAATGGCAGTAATCTATGGACTAGTACAGATAATAGCAATAATATCATATACAGAGCATGCACAGACAAAGCCACTTTCATTTTTTATTTAATTAAGTTAATTTTTATACCCTTGCAATATTTTTAATATGTGAGGAAGACAGTATTCTTATTAATATTTAGGATTGACTATTCCCTCATACAATAATTAGTGTAGGATAAGAGCAGATAAGATGATTCTTTATTTGTGTCAGAACCTTCATACATTTTATTCTTAACACCATAATAACACTTATTACACAATGTACAACTAATACTATTTATTACACAATATACAATATTTAATACAATATAATTTACATACTATTTAATACACTATTACCATAATATAATAGTACTTTTAACACAATGTGTAATAATAATACTACTTATTACACAATGTACAACTAATACTACTTATTACACAATACATAATAATTAATATACAATAATTTACATAATACTTATTACACTATTACCATAATATAATAGTACTTATTACACAATGTACAATATTTAATATAATTTGCATATTAATTATATTTAATATACAATGTGTAATAAATAGTATTATCATAACCATATTAAATTCAGATGTTCATTAATAACTTATAGTACATTGTGTATTAAATAATATTATTTTATACATATTGTATAATAAATATTGCTATTTTACACATATTGTATAATTAAAAATAACGGTTTTTTCTAATTTATTTCTATATATAGAAATAAATCATTTAAATTTTTTAAACCTTAATGAAATTAGACAATTATACGATTAAGGTAATAATAGGGATTAGTTGTATAGCAGTAGGTTTATTATGCATATTTATACCAGTGGTAATAACCATAATAAACATTAAATCCGGGTATGAGCAAGTAACCACAGTAGAAATGAGTGATAACCCAAGTAACCATAACTTATTACACAGAGAGCAAGAAGTACCATTATTTTATACACATAGTACCATAAATAATCCTGATGGTCCATTATATAATAATACTGTAATAGAAAGTGATGAAAGCGGTCCAAGTGCCCTCCATAACAGAAAGGATAATTTACTGATTATATTCATCAGAACATTTAACACAAACCATAATAAATTATTACTAGTACTAGGACTTATGATAGTTATGTTCGGAAGTCTTATACTACTAAGTAATAAAAGAAAAGAAGAAAGGTTCTTTTGTGGGACCATAACTAATGACACATTGATTAATAAGTTAAGAAATAATGAGCATAGTGTAATAAGTTATGACCAATCGTATTTACCACCACAAGCAGTACAAATGCCCAAACCAGACGAGTTCTCCACCGATCCATTTGAAATTCCACGGGCATCGTACGATTATAAAGAGTATTCCCATGGGCACAGGCCTAAAAGAGGAACAGCCCAACAAAACCCGACCAAACCCGAAAAATCCTGCATAACTCGGTCTGAGTGGGACGAGATCGTGGAAGCCCATGATAAAAAGTACGCAGATGCAGGAATTTCCATTGGCTTGGCTACTCCTGATAATTTGTGCAGTATTTATGAGTAAATGAGTAATAAATTATTTTTTATGATACATAGTGTAACAATTAATGAGCTTATAAAGCCCAAGTACGCATTTATTACAACGGGAGTATTTTTCATTATTTTTGGTTATTTACTGCTGGATATGCACTTAGTCAGGATAGGGAATATCTTGCTGTTTATTTATGCTACAATGTGTATTAAGTCTTTAGACCAATTTCGTGTTATACTTTTATTTTTTATTGGTTTTATTATTTCATTTTGGGTTATAAGCCTGGGCATCCTTATAGAGGCAGTGGCTCTGATTATTTGGAGTATTTCCGGGTTACGTCGGGTTATTAATTCCCCTGTCAGGATAATCCATTCATTATTAAAAAATAAATAGGAAAATCTTATAATTAACGGATTTATCATAATTAACGTATAATTAATAATAATTAACGTATAATTACTTATATGCTCAAAAAGGAAATAAAATTAACGTATCATGAAAATTCATAAATTGAAAAATTTTATAATTATTCCATGACCAGCCATTCAAAAGGAAGCTCAAACGCGAAACCAGTAAAAAGGAAGAGTGAAGAACCAGAGGATAACGTATCAGAGGACTACACAAGTGACCAGTCCAGTGGAGTGGATAATGACGATTTCTCAGACCAATCTGACGACCTCAACTCATCCACCACAGTAACAGAAGAGGACAGTTTAGACCAAGAAGAAGACTCAACCACACTGGATGGGAATGAGTCAAGTTTTGGTGACAGAGAGGATGGATCCGATTCTGGCCAGTACGGGAGTGATGATGACAGTGATGATGACTTTGCCTCCGATAACAGTCAGAACAGTGATAACACTGACACCACTGCATAAAGCATAATAAAGTTATATGGCAGTTCTGTTTTTATTTTTTTTATGCTGAGGAGGGTGCTTGACTCACTGAATAATCTTCAATGTGTGGATAATGAGAAGAGGAAGGAAGCAGAGAAGTATATTATTAATGAATCCGAAGGGAATTTTGTTGGTGTAATAAACAGTCTATTAGATATTTTAGTGGATCCATCTGTTGGCACAATTGGTGACACGGTGACAGCAGGGGTTGTACTGAAGACGCTTTTCTCATGGGAATCTGAGGAGAAGAGGCATGAGGTGAACATGAAATGGACATCACTCACTGAGAAGGAGAGGGATGAGTTAAAGGGGAAGTTAATATCAAGCCTAGGCGGGTGCACTGGGAATATTGGGGAGATACTTGGGCAGTGCCTTGGTGCGGTTGCACGTATTGAGGTTGTGAGCAAGAGGTGGCCAGAAGTATTCTCGGACTTGTCCTCAATCGGGGTTAACACTGACTCAGAGATTGTGCGTATAAATATCATGGAGACAATCGGGATTTTATGCATGGATACGACCGGGATGGATGAGCGGCTAATCCTGCACTCATCTGGGTTTATTCTTACTGTGCTCATAAAGGGAGCCAACTCAGAGAACCCCAGCACGCAGAAGAGTGCGTTTAAGAACTTAGACAGGTGCCTTGAGTTCATCAGTCATAATATTAGCATAGAGAATGAATGCCTTCTGGTTATGGAGACACTTTTTAATGCGTGCAGATCGAGTGATGAGGATGTGGCGTGCCTGGCACTGCGGTGTTATACAGGGACACTGTTCATGTACTACAATAAAGTGATCAAGTATGTAAGCCTGGCATTCGGGAACATCGCCATGAATTACATGTACTCTGAGGGTGAGGATAAAATACTTGCTGCAATTGAGATGTGGGGTGCCATTGCTGAGCATGAGATGTACAGTGACGGTGAAATAATCAGTGAAGTGTTCTCTACGCTTGTAGGGCAGTGCATGGTACTCGCCATGAACAGTGATATGGAGCAGACTGAAGAATGGGTGCCGCACAAGGCATCTGCATGGTTACTTGGGCTAGTTACGCACTGTGCCCCTGAGAGGGTCAATGGCAATATAGTTAACAAATCATTCAGTGCCCCGCATAACCTGATTTCAGCGATTGAGTCGTTCATTACCTCACAGGAGACCGTTAAGTTTGAGGCGGGCATGATCGTGCTGGGCTCTATTTTGAACACAGAAACAGTCACTCCACTTAACCCGTTAATTAAAAGGATTGCCCCATTAGTGTTCCACTCACTGGGTTCTGATAACCCCGTTGTATTAGACACCGGGATGTGGCTGCTTGAGAGACTGTTCAAGTACGCTTATGTTGCTGTGGAGCAGTGCCACTTAGAGAATGATATTATCAGGAAAATCATGAAGATCATCACAATGAACACGGAAATGTCCGTGACTGCCGCATGGACACTCACCGGGATAGCAGGCGCTGTACGGTCACAGAGTACATCCGATGCGTACAGGGACCATGCGATATTCACGAATTTCACAATGATTTTAGACTCACTCGTCAGGACATTCTTCAGCCTGCATGAGACACAGTTTACACTGAAAGTGTCACTCTCCTCTGCGATCGCTGAAGTAATCAAGGCCGCAATACCCACGTACTACGAGGAGGTGATTGGCTTCTTAAATGAAATAATCGCAAAGGTAAAGAATGAGTTAGTGCAACAGGAATTAAACGAGGAGAACATATCTTGCTATATGAACTTAATACAGGCATGTATAAGTACGTGCTTCTCTGACCAAATATCGAATGTGTCCAAGGAGGTGGTTTCCATATGCATATTCATTATACACAGGAGTAAATTAGTCTCATTATATACAGAGGCATACTTAACACTCAGCCTGCTCGCTGACAGGATCGGAATCGATTTTGGTAATTATACAGAAGAGATAATCCCGTTCATAATCAGGGACATGCGAATGTTCTGCTGTGAGGAGGGCAAGGAGCAAAACAGTTCATTATTCGCCACTAGTTTAATTATGTTTATTGGGTCAATGGCCATGTCTATACAGCTGGGGTTCAGTGCGTACATCGATCAGATCGTGCCCGTATTAATACGTGCTGTAATATCACCGCACTTGCCCAGGGAGGCTAAAACAACGGCAATTTCTACATTCTCGGATATTTCACTTTCTGTGGGTAAGATGTTCGACAGGTACTTAAATGAAATAATGGAAATTTGCATGGGCGCCATAAAAGTGAAAGATGATGGGAGTGACAGTGGATTTATCCTTACTTTACGTGAGTCACTTTTAGTCCTCCTGTCGTGTATAGTGCAGGCATCAGATGGGAGAAGTACTGAAGTAATTAACTCTGTTGAAAGGATGCTTTTAATAGTTAAAATAATAGCACAAGAAACCACTGACTCTGCTTGTATTATTAAGTCTCTTTACCTTCTCTCTGATTTATGGATACTTTGTGGGTCGTACCAGAACTCTTCTGTTATTTCTGCTTTAGAATCCCCGTGGGTGTTTGAATTTATTTCTGCAAAGACAGAGTCATCCGTAAAAGAGGTCAGGGATGCAGCCATTTCCACCAGACTGCAAATTAGTTATATTAATAAGGAATAAGCAATTCTACAATTACTGCAGTACTCATTACATTAAATAAAGATTTATATTACTACATAAATATACGATTATACCCTGTTGTATATTCTATACTAATACTTTTTATGTATTGTGTAATTAGTCTTATTCATATTACACTGTATTTTAATCGTGTTTCTGGCCATGACTTTTTACGCACTTTCATTTTTCAAATAACTCTGAATTTTTTTATTTCGTATGCTATTCTCAATCGAGACTCTTAAAGCGTACACTCAGTCAAAAGGTATCCCAGACATAGAAGATGAAGACTTGAAAATACTTGCACAGGATTTAGAGTACAGACTTAAAGAATTAGCACAGGAAGCATCTAAGTTCATGATGGCAGCAAAACGGTCGAAACTGTCTATTGAAGATGTAAATTATGCCCTTCTGTCAAAGGAGATAGATCCATTACTAGGGTACAACACGAGCAACTCTCTTGTATTCAAAACCATCCCAGGGTCAAATTTATACTACGTCCCAGACGAAGAATTAGATTTAGAGTCAATTTTAAACTCTCCCCTGCCGAAGATCCCTCATAAACCGGTTATATCCAAGCACTGGCTGGCCATTGAAGGAGTACAGCCACAAATACCGCAGAATCCACTTCCCATGGAGAGAATGCCAGAAATTAAAAAGGAAGATACGCTAGCAGCCATGAAAGAGGACATTGAAATAAGAAACCATATGAAACACCTTTTATCCAAGGAATTACAGTTATATTATGAGAAGATTGTTCAGTTCATTAAAGACAAGGAGACTGTTGCACTTGCATCAGAATGTCTTAAGAATGAGAGTGGTATTCAGCAGCTAATCCCGTACTTTGTCCATTTCTTTAATGAGGAGATATTAAAGAATCTAAGGAATGGCGATTATTTAGTGGATATTATAAGTGTATATGAGAGTTTAATCATGAATAAGATGATATTCATTGAACCTTATATGCACCAGATGCTTCCCTCTCTACTTACATGTGTTGTTGGCAAGAGTATAGGTATCATGCATAAGCACCCATCAGAAGAAGTATTAGTGAATGATTCAGATGAGGACACTCCAGGCCTATCTGCCAGAAGAAGAGCATCCATCACTATCAAGTATATATATGATACGTACTCACTTTCATACACTACACTTGCACCGCGTGTACTGAATACTCTATTAAAAACATGGGCTGACAGCACCAAGTCACCCGAGTCCCACTACGGTGCAATATATTGCTTATGTAATTTAGGAGAGAAGGTAATAAATGGAGTAGTCATTCAGTTCAAGAAGGAGTATTTAGATAAAACAGACCATATTAAGTACTCCCTCCCTATAAATTTACTTAATAAGTATACTAAATAAATATAACACAGTATAAGATAATGTATAGATGTATAGTAGTATAAGTAATAGATGTATATATGTATAAGTATATAGTATAAGTAATAGATGTATAGATGTATATAAGTGTATTATGTGTATAGTATAAGTGTATTATATGTATATATGTATAAGTATATATAGTATAAGTAATAGATATATATATGTATAGATGTATAGTGGTATGAGTATATAGTATAAGTAATAGATGTATAGTAGTATAAGTATATATAGTATAAGTGTATTATATGTATAGTAGTATAAGTGTATGTATATATATATAGTAGTAATAGATGTATAAGTATATATAGTATGAGTATATAAGTGTATTATATGTATAGTAGTAATAGGTATATAGTATATGTAGTATAATACTGTATGAACCCATGTATATGTATATAAGTGTATATGTATATAAGTGTATGTATATTACTGACTATTACTTATTATACTATATACATATACCTATTACTTCCTCTCTTTCTCTCTTACACCTATTAATCATCCACCCTTTCTTCCTTCCTTATACTATACTTACACCTATTACTTCCTCTCCCTCTCTCTCTCTCTCTTTCTCTTATTTGATTTATTTTTTTTGATATTTTTTCTATTTATACTTTTTGTTATAACTTATTACACATTGTATCATAATTATTTATTAATTTACCACTTTAAACCCGAATATTCTAGGAATATATTTTTGATTTTCTTCTTTTTTTTTCGGGAATAAATTTTTATACATTAAAATAAATAAATTCGGGAATGTGCAGCCAAATGCACACCCATCCACTTGGCTTAACTCATTTCTTGGTTCGTATATCTCCTTACAATTATTACAGAATAATTTAGCATTGGATTTATGAGGAGTCTCTGATAACCCGATTGGTAAGAAAGGGTATCCATTACAGGTAACCCTGGGGCACTTACCGTATACACCAGAACTTATTACACTATGCATTGAATCTAATCCTTTCTTGGTTAGTATATATCTTTGGTGTATCATATAGTACAGGGACACGCTTATTTCTGGTGGTATGTAGATGTCTTCACCTCTGAATGCTTTAATTGCTTTATCATAACCCTTTATTATATCTGAGATACCGAATAAATTGAATGGGTCATCAATGAATGACTGATCCACTCTTAGAATTATTTGGTCTGTAAATCCATCTACGAATCTATCTATCCAATCCATATCAGAACTAGTTGTATCATACTCCTCAGAGGAACTGACCAGCATAAATATAAAAAATAAAACATAATAGTATATGTGTCAAAAATAAAACATAATAGGATATGTGTAATAAGTAATGGATGATGCGTAATAAGTAATAAGTTATGTGTAAAAAATAGTAGTAAATAGTAGAATATGTGTAAAAAATAGTAGTAAATAGTAGAATATGTGTAATAAGTAATAGAATATGTGTATCCTGTTATCATTGTATACGTGTATCCTGTTATCATTGTATACGTGTATGTGTATCCTGTTATCATTGTATACGTGTATGTGTATCCTGTTATCATTGTATACGTGTATGTGTATCCTGTTATCATTGTATACGTGTATGTGTATCCTGTTATCATTGTATACGTGTATGTGTATCCTGTTATCATTGTATACGTGTATGTGTATCCTGTTATCATTGTATACGTGTATGTGTATCCTGTTATCATTGTATACGTGTATGTGTATCCTGTTATCATTGTGTATAATATTATTGAAGTCTTCTTATAGGTCAATTCGTGCTTTCATAGCTCAGTTGGTTAGAGCATCGGACTAATAACCCGAAGGCCCCAGGTTCGAGCCCTGGTGAAAGCATCTTTTTACTTTATATTTTAGTTTACTTATTACACATTGTATTATAATAAATTATATGTAATAAGTTATAATATAATAGTATACGTATAATAAGTATTATTTAATGTACATTGTGTAATATATTCACGTATCAATAAATGATAAGTAGAATCTCCATCTGACATAAGCTGTAATTATCCAAATTATAAAGAAACTGCCCATTGCAAGTAGTTTATCTAATATTAGTGCTAGTGTTGTATTTTTATTTGTTCTTTCTTTGATTCCCTCCTTTAATATCGACTGCATTAAAATATTTAAATATAACTTATTACTAATAGTATAAAAAATTATAACTTATTACATAACTAAAACTATTAATACAGTATGTAATAAGTATTATATATTCTATAGTGTGTAATAAGTTATAATTTATTCTATAGTATGTAATAAGTACTATTTATTCTATAGTGTGTAATAAGTTATGTATTATATATTTTATAGTGTGTAATAAGTATTATATATTGTATAGTGTGTAATAAGTTATGTATTTTATTATATAATTATGTGTATATTATATATTCTATAGTGTGTAATAAGTTATGTATTTTATTATACGTATACATTACTGTTTAATAAAAAATATGCTACACATATATATATGCATATAAATAATACTATTGCTGTTACTTGAATAATATTTACATAATATTTAATACTATTCCCGAATAAATAAGTAAATATATTCGATTTTGATTGAATTATTTTGTTTTTATACGCTTTAATACTATTTATAATATAATTCGTCTGAGATGTGTACATATTTGATGGATTTGTTTTAAACCCAGATAGTTCCTTATTTAATATACTTATTTCTGATTCCCAGTTTGATTTACATATGCTTATTATGTCCTTTAAATCATTTAATTTAGATATTTTTGAATTAATTTCATTAATCTCATTTAATTTAGTAGTATTTTGTATATTATACTCTACACCTGATTCGATCTTAATTAATTCTTCTCTCTTCTGATTTTTATTTTTAATGAGTATCCCAGTTCTTTCATTTATATCTTGAATGGATTTGTTAAATTCACTTATTTGATCATTTGAGTACGTATTGACTAATTCTATTACATCTTGTACAATAGAAGGATTTGAATCATTTACAATATTAGATAGGGATATATAAAAATTATCTGCTATATTTCTCATATTATATTGTAAATTATCTACTTTTGATAATTTCTGTTCTGGATCAGTTAACTCTTCCATGTTCAAGATCTTCTCCATTGTATTGTGAATGAATGAACTTAATTTTCTTTCTTCATAAATAGATGTATTATTGATTGTTATAGTGCTTAGTAATTTTAAATACTCTTTTGGTATAATAGATAATAAGTTATTATTAATTGTAATTATATCTACACCTTCTGATTCTGCTTTTCTTATATAATTGGATGCTTCCCTTATACTGGATAGGTTTTTTATGATATATTCTGTACTAAACTCTATTAAAACCTTGTTGTTCTCTGTTTTTGTGTATAAATCTGATAGTTCGTATGCACTCTCTTCTATGTTCATTAAATAATACGTACTTATATCTTGTAAATCCGTATTAATTTCCTGATTAATTTCTGAATTATCCTGTATATAATTTATGTACATATTTATATACTCTGCTGAAATATGCCTTTTGAAATATTCTTGTATATCCACGTGTACAGAATGAATATTTTCTAATTTTAAATATAAATTGTACACTTTCTTACTAATTAAATCCTTGAATTCTTCTGAATTATTCTCATCTATGAGTAATTTATGTACTGTGTCGCTGATAGGTTCGTTATTACTTATTATTTCTTTATATATGCATAATTTTGCTAATTCTAGTATACTATCCTTGTAATCATTAGAAGTCATATCTGTTGAAATGGTAATACTTGTGTTTATACAAGAAATCCAATTTAATAGAAACTCTTTAGGATTATTCTTATTCTTATTCTTATGGTTATTGCATACTTTTTCTATACTTAACTTATCAATATTTAATTCAAATGGACTGTCTCCAATCATTTATACAGGGGTAATATAAATTTACATATTTATATAAACGTATAATTATTGGTAGAATAGTTGACCTATTAACATAAATATTAATTATACTTACATAACGGATATATTTGATTCTTATAATACAGAATTAAGATACTTTATCTTTATTTAATTCAACGCATTTCGGATTAACTCTGATTTACGTGTACTTAAACACTCAAATATCATATTTACTGTTTTTTATCTTAAATACTGTTATACACTATTATTTGCATATAACAGATTCTATGGCTTGCTGAAAAAATCCTTTTTTATTCGGTTTTATAAATTTACTTATTTTCTTTATAATGGAATCATACTTATTAACACTTTCTGAGTCATATCCATCACATAATAGACTTCTGTTATTATTTAAATGCTTCAAAATATAGGAATGAGAAATAAATTGTTTATCCCATCTGTTATCACTGTTTAAAACATAATTTATATCTATACGATCCATTAGAATATTTATAGTATCCTTCTTATCTTCTATATTACTTATTATCACATCAACCACCCACTTTAAACAGATATAAAACATATTTGAACTGTCCGGCTGCATAACTAATTCATATATTACGCCTAGCAATTCAGAAAATGTTTTAGTTGGATCATCAGTTTTCTTGGAGAGATTCTTTATAACCATGATAAAGATACTTGAAAAATTATTAATGTTATACCTCTCGTCTGCCCTGCCTATGGCTCTCATTGCTTTTATAAAACACTCAAAAGAAATATCATAGGAATGGGTTGGTCCTAATAATGTGTTATTCATGGTTTTGATTAAATGAATTACACTGCAAAAAGAAACCTCTTCCCAGCACTCTTCAACTCTTGAATAGTAATCTTTACCATCACTGTTATACATACAATAAATTAGCATGTTTTTTCTTGTTATTAAATCATTCAGCAGAGTACTTCCTATAAGATTATTAGTAAAACGAACTAGCGGATTGTTTTTTGGCTGTGTATTTTTTAGATATATACTCAAGAAGTATCCAACACTAGCTGCTTTTTCCCTAACTGATAAAATCATCCCGCACAGAAAAATGTCATTTATATTATCATGATTGTTTCTAATAGTTTCCTGAATTTGCTCAGATGGAAGGAAGCTTTGTGATTTACACTTATTTTTCATTTTATTCAGCTCTATGTTTATGTACTGTCTAATTATACATGCTGTATACTTCTCTGAGTTACTGTAAATATTCTGGATTTCAGTGAGTTTTGTTTTAATAGCGATTTTTTGTTTTTTAAGCAATAAATCGCCTACTATGTCTAATATGGCATGGCAGCTGCATATATCTACTGATACTCCTGCCTTTATTTCTTCAAAGATATAAAGTAGATGAAACTCTCCAAATAAATCATGCTTTTTATCTTTTTTTCTCTTATCTACTGTGAACTTTTTAGAATCTATTTCAAGATTCTTGTTATTTGATAGTTCTATGAATATATTAGTTAGATTTTCTTTTATATTAAATTCTTTTTTATATGAATTTTTAGGTCTACACTTGTCTTCTATAGACTTAATTTCTTTAAGTACTTCTTCTTTGTTTCCAGTTATTTCTGATATAACGTATAAAACATTTAATAAACTGCTTTCTAGCTCATTGCCTCTTTTTTTTAAATAAACAATCTTATCATTGGGTAAGCCTGCTACTACTCTGCACCAATCCTGTTGCATTTTATAACTAATGCTCTCCATTGGTTTTGGATAATCTTTGAAGAACTCTTTCAGTGGCTCTGTTTCTTTTTTATTTGGTAAATGGTCCGTGGTGTATACTCTATTGTTTAAGTCGTATAATAAACAACAAACTATTCCTAATATACTCACTTCCACACAATTAGAATATTTTTGGGTTATATCACCTATTTCTTTTTCATTTTTTCTATCATAAGCCTTTACTTGAACATATGCTGGTAGTTGTGATGAATCAATAAAAGGTGATATTTTACAACTGTCTTTTGCCCTTCTAAGATTTAAAATATGGTCTATATGATTGGTTACATATGGCAGTTCATCTTTCTTTATAAAGTAATTCTTCAATAGGCCTTTGTATACGTCTTTTATCTTTTTTTTAATAGATGTATTGTTCTCTATCTGATCAGTCAGAATAGTATATACAGCCTCTACAAACTCAATATACCTGTTTGGTGTATCAATAAATTCGTATATATATGACTGAACAAGGAACTTTGGTGTGTTCAAAAAACGTCCTGTCATAAACTGCTCATATGTACTTGGTTCTATATATCCGCGTTTTTTCTCTAGTTGTTTAATGCGAATTTCTGCATAATCTTTTAGAAAGTTAATAACTCCAACAGCTTCTGTGTGATAATTTTCCTGTTCAGTGGGCAGTTCTTTTTCATCTTCACACAGCACTAGGCTCTGGTTAATGTACGTATCTTTTCCATCTACACTTTTTAGAACAAGTCTTCTTTCTTTTTCCTTTTTCTTTCCTGTTAGAATGGGAATATCCACCTGCTCGGACAAAAGGAAAAAAGCTGCCAAAATGTACATGCATTGTGGCTGTACTTCATCCTTTATCAGAAAAGAATAAAGCGCATCTGGCCTTCCTGCTGTAATAGAAAGTGATTTGTCTGTAGAAGGAAACATGTTAATTAGCTGTGTATGGAACCGAATAAGATAGTTGTTTGTTACAGCATCTGTATAAATATTTTTATATGCTATATCATTAACAGGTGTTCGTGTATATGTGTAAATTGATTTACCACTTTCTGTTGCTTTATCTGTCTTTTTTAATTGATATTCTGTATCTATTTCTGGCGAATAAAATCGCTTATTATACATATATCCACTTCTGTGCATAATATACCCTCTTAGTGGACTAAGTGGCCCATCTGGATGTATTAATAAATTATCTTTTTGAATAACTACTCTTTCTCCTAGTGTCTTTATATCATATAGATCTAGCCTTGCACACACTGTGTATATCATCAGTAGCAATTTTATGATCATATTGTTTTTCATTTAGGGAATAAAAATATTTTTATTCCCTTATTTGTTTTTTCTAATTTCATTTCAGGATTATTTTATATTGATATTTATGGTTTAATTTAAAGGAGTCTTTCAACTGATTGATTATCGTTATTCTCTTAACTGACTAATCAAATGAATTTTTTCGGTATATCGATTAAATAATTTATGTCTACTTAATTAGTCTGTAGTGTATTTGTTATACTATGTAATTAATTATACATATTCTATACTGAAATTCCAATAAAGCATATTTAAGAAATATAATATATGACGTACTCTGCAACTAATAATATTCAATTATTATAACTATTCTAAACTCGTATAGGAACCACTTATAAAATATAAAAGATGTATATGTAACACTCTATGAAAGCAGCTGCCCAAATATATATGGCGAACTATATTCTGGAATTACCCCAAGACTAAGAGTCAACATATAGACTCTAGCATAAGTACCACTCGTGCAGTAGCACATTATCTTTGTAATATCATTTTATTGTGGAGTACCCTTTTAATGACTTACTTTATAAGCTATGCCCCATTACTCTCAGTAGTAAATTACACTGACTTGTTACGACTGTCTAATAACCATACGAAATGGCTTATAAAGGACGTGTTTAATGGCATCCGAACACTTTGTCAGATACTCTTTACTCCTTATACTAATAAAACACTTATCTAAATATACACTTCTATAAATCAAATCCTAATGAACTAATGCTATTGTGCACTGTAGAACAAATAGATATAATTTTCTAAAATACTAAATTATTTAAATTATTTTCTACTGAAATAAAAGAAAGTGTAAATAATTTATTTTTAAATTCAATAAAAATATAATTTATTTCTATTTTTAAATACCAATTGTAATAGTATAATTATATAATATAATTATATATTTACTGGTATATGCTGCACTATTAGTTAGTTATCCCCATGTATAGAATTAAGACTCATTAAAATGGGTTATTACTCTCATCTTATATAGTCACAATTTCCAATTATGAAAGCTCTATAAGACTTCCAAGACGTGGGTGAGAGGCTTCCACATTAGGCATAGATCATCCTAGGATCAAAACCAACACTATTAATCAATATTTGTATAATCTTATTGTATTTTTCAGTACGTTCATCATCATTATTACATAATATAATTCTATTAGCATCTAAACAATTAAATATGAGGTTCAGATTTTCAATACTCCATTGAATATCTTCTTTATCTTCTATTCTAAGATAATTATTATCTATAATATTGAATAATTTTGACAAGCATTCCCCTTTATCATGTAAATTCTCGTATGAAAACATATTAAAAACCCAAGCCAAGTAGATATTTGTTACTCTATACTTATCTAGTTCATTAAATGAGAACTGAATAATATCGATTATCTCATTAAATGTGTCAATTTTAGGTTTGGTTGTATGGTCTAAATAATAAAGTATATCCTTAATCATAGAGTGATAATTATTGATCAAGTTATACCATTCATCTGATTTACTTACTGTTTTCATTAGCTCGGTAAAACAGTATGTAAAGTTATCATCTACAGCGTTTGTAGATAGAAACAATGCTTGGCATAGTAGTTTAAACGACTCAGCAATGTGTATTTCTATACCATAGATCCAGATGTCCTTATCAATTTTTGTATAATATTCTTTAGCCTTTGGATTGAAAAAATAGCCTTGTAATATACTATTTCTTATATAAAAGTGATCCATTTTATGACTTCCTATAATATTGTCTGTCATTCGGATTAGTGAGGGGTCAGCCATATCCGGATTAACATATAACATCAAGAAGTATGTAACAATATATTTCATGTGATCAGCCGAATCAATTCTTCCGTATAAAAATATAGTAAGTACACCTCTGTAACTATTGGCAGCAATACTATTTAAAATTATGCTTTTAACAGAATCTTCCTCGTACACACAATTACTTTGTATTTTAGCGAACTCTACAGAAATGTAATGCCTAATTATACATTCTATATAATTATTTGGATTATCATATGCATTCCAGATTTCAGTGAGCTTCTCTTTAATAATTGGTTTATTTTCATTCAATATTGAATTCCCTAATAGATCTAGTCTGCATTGATGTTCTTCTATATGTATTGATAGCCTTCCACATACCATCTCATCTATGTAAGCTAGATCAAAATTATCAAAACTATCAAAAAAGTCAATTGTTTTATCCACACGCGTTTCTGCTCTAAACCAGTTAGAATGTATTTTAAGATTCTTGTTCTTTGACAGTGCATTAATTAATGCAGATAGATGGTTTTCTATATCAATCTCTTCACCTGTTTCATCATTATCACGCGCAATTATCATATTCTCGAGTTCTTTAAGCACTTCTTCTATGTTTCCAGTTATATCTGACATAACATATAGCATGTTTAACAAACCGGTTGCCAATTGATTCTTTCCTTCTCTGGTATACACAATCTTATCATTCTTTGAGCTTGCTATTACTCTGCACCAATCCTGCTGCATCTCGCGGCTAGTATTCTCTGTTGGCACCGGATATTTCTCAAAAAATTGTTTTAGTGGCTCTGTTTCTTTTTTTGTTGGCAGATGGTCTGTGGTGTACCTTTTCGTTTCTGAGTCATACATTAAACAGCACACCAGTCCCAATATAGTTACTTCCACTTGATTAATGTACATTTGGGCATCATCATCTATTTCTCTGCCATTTTCTCTATCATATGCCTTTACTCGCGTATATGTTGGTAGCTCTACTGAATCAATAAAAGGGCAATTTCTATACCTGTCTATTGTTTCCTTAAGATTACAAATGGCCACTGTATGGTTTTTTAACCCCCAAAGTGCATTTCTTCTTATAAAATATTTTCCAAGCACTTCATCGCGCATTGCCATATTTTCTAGTGCAAATTCAGTATCCCTTATTTGCTCAGTCAAGAGAGTGTACACGGCCCTTATAAACTCAATGTACTTGTCTGGTGTATCAATAAACTCGTATATGTACGACTGTACAAGAAACGGTGGTTTGTTCAAAAATTCTCCTGTATTAAACTCCTCATATGTAGTTGGTTCAATAAATATTTCTACTAAATTGCCAGGATTTGCATTGGCATTGTTTATATTCATTTTCAGAAATCTAATAAGACTTACTAAATCTTTGCTTGATTCCTCCTGATTAATATACGTGGTTGTTCTATCTGCGCTTTTCAGAACAAGTAGATATTTCTCTTCTATGTTATATATTTCGATAGGAACGTCTACCCTCTCAGACAAAAGAAAAATAGCTGCTAGAATGTACATACACTCTGGCTGTACTTTATTTTTTATTAAGAATGAAGTAAATTCATCTGATTCATCTGATTCAATAGAAAGTATTCCTTCTGAAGATGGGAACATTTTAATTAAATGTGTATGGAACTGAGTGTAATATTCTTTAT